GAGGGCATCGTACAGCTCGCAGTTTGAGAACTTGGCTAAACATCATTTAGTCATCAGTCCTGTGGAGGTATGAGTGTGGAGGAAGTAAGCAGAGTTGCTTGGTAACAGACCATTCCAGGTTAATGGAGTTGTGTATCAAAAGATACAGATCACTGGTGATTCCACATTAAAGGAGAAAAAAAAGAAAAATTGTGTTTTTAGGCATAATGCGAAAGTACCTGAGCTGTCTCTTTGGTAATTTACAGTAATTCAGAAATCTGTGCCATGCCACGTCTAACTTCGTCAGACAGTTACTGTAAAAGTACTTGTTTCTTGTAGCCAGAGTCCAGAAATGAGAAGAGGTAATTCTGTCTGTTTGGCTCATTGATTGCTATAGTGGTAGCTTATTGATCTTCGATTGTCATCCAGCTCCTTCAGGAATAGATGTGAGTAAGTCACTGAAATCCGTGGTAGAATTGGGATGCTTTTCTTCTGTAAGATAGTACAACCCAATCTGAAGAGTTGCATGGCCTAAGCTATTTTTTAGTGGTTAGTTATGTCGAATGTCACCTTGATCTGCTGTATCATCAAACACGGGGGAATGAGATCTGACTGTTATGAGCCTTGGATCCTCCTGAGCTCGACGGCAACTGTTAATGTGTGACCATTTCATTGCTTTTGCAGATCCATCAGCAGGAACAGATTTACTGGAACGAACAGCTTAATCTTGGAAGTAGTTTTGCAGTCAATGCTGTTAGGGGAACAGGTCAGATAGATCCACGGGATGTTTGGGATTCATTTCTGGCTCCACTGTGAAAAGCATGGAGCTGGTTAAACTCCACTTCTTCACCCACAATAACCTGCTGTAGTTTCAAAGGATGCTTCTGTCTTGTTCTGCAGTGCTGTCTTACAAAGGAGTCCATAATTACAGTAATTTTGTTTTGGAGAAGGCCTTGATAAGCATCACGTGCAGTCATCCAGTAAATATATACCTGTTTTTCATCCTACAAACATTCATTGTAACGAATGAAACCTCTTCAGGCAGCAAACTTGCTGTAAGCTGAGAAGCACATGCTGAGCCCCTATTGTAGGAAGACATGCCCGGATTTGTAAAACTTTATCACACTGTTTAGACTTGTTTATGTTCTGCTTGTTGTGTTGTGGTGTGCACACGTTCTCTTGTTCAATTTATCATGCATTATCTGTGCAATCAATGTGCATCATAGGACCCAAATGTGTGGAAGATTCCCAGGGTGGCGCAGAGAATGCAAAGAAAGCATGAAAAGCAATAACCATGGTCCAGAAAATGGAAGTAATTAAGTAATTGAATGAGAGTCAGTGATCAAAAGACATTTGTGTTGCTATGAATTTGGATGCTGTCCCTACAATCTTTTTGCAAAAGGAGAAGATAGAAATAATTGTAGAATCTAGTGTCGGTGCTGTGAAACTGCATTACAAAGGCAAAAGATTTATGTTTTATTTCTGCACTTTTATGATTAAATTGAAGCTTGAAAGGTGAGATAACTCTTCTTTCTTTTGTACAGTTGTGAACAAAGTGAGCAGGGGATTGCCGACTAGTTGTTGAAGATATGATTGTTTAATATGCTTTTTCTGCTTGTTTAGTTCATGGTATTTGTTGTTTAGGTTTGTTAATGAGTTATTTTGAGGGTAAAACAATGTTTGATAGTTTCAGCTGGTATGCTGTTCTAATGAAAGGATCATTTTGGGGGGTGCTCTCAGGGTGGGAGGGTTGTATATGAGTTAGAAAATGTAGCATGTGATCCTTTGAGAATTATGTCTTCGATTTATGAATTTTCAACTTGCAACCTGTTTTCAGTTTTCAGAAATTGAGGGATGACTGCGTAGAGAAATTTATTTCCAAACCTGAAGGAAAGTAATGTTTTGCTACAGCTGGCCAGGATGGTTCCACCCTGATACTGCATTGTTGTGTCCCATAACTGTTTTATTGTTAGTGAAAGGAAATAACGCAGAAGAGTGAATGTACCCTTCTGTTGCTGTAATGTAACTGAAACCCAGACCTGTAGTGGACCAGCCTGGTGCTTGGCTTTGTCCTGGGTAGAGGCTATTTTCCATTAGGCCTTCTTGGGCTACGGTTACTGACAAATATCAAAGCCTCTGATGCCCCTGGGTGAAGTCTGCCCTTTTAGTGCTGCTGTATCGCTGGCTGTCTCTGTGGGCTGTGGAACCTCTGTAGGACCCATAGAAAGAGTCCTGTGTTTCGCCACTCTCCAAGGGAGAGCTGACGGATCGCATTTCCATGTTTATTCACACATGCGTGCAAGACAGCTTTCTGTTGAGGTAATGGTGTGAATATACAGGAGCTGTTTGCACAGATAAGGGTATGCGTGTCAAAGGATGGTGCGTCGTGGCAGTTTAAACGTTGTAATAGACAACTGCCCACAGAGCCCCACTCATTAAAAAGGGACTGGATGTTATGAGTCTGTTTGGTATGCGTGCATGCTTTAGAACAGCGCGTTCTTCAGGGATCTGTAGTGCCCATCAGGTGCTCTGTCACACTGAAGGAGTTAGCTTCATTCCTTAGCATTTCAGGTATTTGCCAGAGCTGTTCCTTTCAGAAGCTGCTCCAGTGTTTTATCTTGCCCTCATCTTGGGTGTCTTTTGACCAAGCTATTTCTCTGCACTTTCCTTGTTCAGCACTTTCCAGGATCCTGAATGTTAAGATACTTGTTCATCTGTCCTCTAAAGTAGCCCACTGTAAATTTCTTTTCCTGCTTACCCCTGTAAGGCACCTGGTGCTATGATGTCCTTGGCTCCCTGAGCTTTAGATCTTCCTTAAGGTCATTTGACCTTCAGTTCTTAGCTACTGCAGTTGATGTATCTCGTAATACATCCTTAAATCTTATAATCTTATAATTCTCTCTTGAGCACATACCAGTTTAATAGAAGCTTTGTACACCATATTCAGGAATGCACAAAATAAGTCTTTTATTTCTTCCTGTGATTTTTATGTATTTTGTTGTTTTCACAGTGAACATTGAGAGGATAGAGCTGAAGACCCAGGCGCACAGGAAGAGTGAGAAGCTGGCAGAGTACCTGTTTGAGGTAAGCAGTGTGGCACACAGGCTGATGGCAGAGGGCTCTTGTTGTCACAGCCTGCAGGCAACCCGCCTGGTGTTTTCTCCTCGGAAAGAGTGGGACTTTCATATCATTCCAGTCTGTTCCTGCCTGCGTCTCTGTGTCCGTGCATGCAGTTGGAAGGAAGTGTTTCCCAGCAGTGAATTCCAATCGACAATTTCAATTTTAGTTTGAATAAATTGATAGCGCAGCATTTCATCCTAGAGAGAGCACTGACCGAGCTTGCAGTGTTCACTGCACATGAAGAAATGCAAAACTCCAAGTCCGTCTCCAAATCCAGACTCCAAAGACAAGTTCCAGTCTTTAATGCCTGCTGGAGGTTTTGAGAAGAGTTTATCACTTTCTGTTCTGTAGATGTATGAGGTCAGAGAGACATCTAACATTTAAATAGAATTGGTCGTATTGCATGACCGGACCTCACACATGAAGAATTGGTGATGAAAGAACAGTTTTGGTGATACAAGGTAATCTAGAAAAGGAGGAATGGAAAGATGGTGATCTGGATTATGGGCAACGTAAGAAGGCTTCACTGAGCTCTCAGGGAAGGGCTGGCCAACATCAGTCACGTCAGGATCTGCCAATAGAGTTTGAGGCAGCAAACTCATGTCCATGTACTTGATGACAGGGAAACGCCTGTGTGCAAGAGCTCCGCTGAGTACGCTTTTCTCATCTTCAGCGGGTTCAGTGGGAATTGGGAGAGCCTGATGGGAATCGTGACAAACTTCCCACACACTGTTCCATTTTTCTACCTGGTTTACATCTCAATAGGAAGTTCATATTCAGGACTGACCTTAAAATGTTCCCCGTTTCACCTCAACAGAGCCAACGCAGTTCTTTCTAAGCAGTCTTGTGCTCCTTTGTTGGGCATTGTTAGAGACAGCTGCAAAGAAAGGAAATTCCCGGGATACGTAAACTGTTTGGAAATAACATTCCACGTACTCTCCTGAATGTTTGGCAAGAGTTACTATACCTGGAGAGGTCTGTGGGACTAGTGACAGTATTACCATAATAGTAACCTTAAGGGTTTTGAAATATGATACAGTGATCAGCACATTATTACACCATCATCATAAAAGCGAACCATGAGTCTTCCTTAGAGGCATTCATGGCGTTTAGAAGGAGCTGCGTGTCTTCTTTCTCAATGCAAAAGATATTTGTTTTGACATCATTCTTATTAGTTAAACCTGCCACCACTGCGTCCGAGGGACTAGGTGTGCCAAGGGAACGCTCTTAGCCCCCGGTCAATGGGCCTTAATGGGCCTTTTGTTCCTTTTTTTCTGGTGTTACTGCGTTTCTGCGATGTGTTTTCCTTACCCTGCTACCAACGTTTGTGCCACACCTCTCTGTACTGCATGCTGTGTTAATCCATTTTTTTCTTGACCCTCTCCTGCTGCCTGCACCTCTTTGGTGTGGTTCTCACACCCCTGGTCTGGTCTTTAAACCATACATAGATATACCATAACTGTAGAATGAAAGCGATCGAATTAGATTTTTATTTTACTTTCTTAGAAAAGTTAAGAATACGTGAGAAATTACACGCTTTTTAAAGTTTACCTTATAATACTGCTGATGCGGTTCACATCAGATATGTTTTTCTTTCCATGTGGAATTCTGGGGTGGCTGGAATGAATGAAAAAGAAATACATGTTAATCAGAAAGCCTGTTTCTCATTTGAGAAGTGGTTCGTGATTGTGTTTGTGCCCAGTGGACCCAGTGGGGTGTCTGTGCAGAGCTGACTGCGTGGCATTGTTGTGCTTTGTAAGAGGGGAGGTGGCTGGATGTTAGTGTTGCTGTCATTGTCGAGCTGCTGGTTTTTCATGCATGAAACCTAAAACCTTAGATGGCGAGTCCAGCAGCATTTCAGCACTGAGCGGTTGGAAGTTTGACCAGTCATGGTTTTTGTCCCAGAACCCATCATGTTTTCCCACTGGTTCTAGCTTAACAGTAGACAACAGCATGGTGTCAGCCACATGACCATCTGCTAATGATCAGATTTGCTTAAAAACAAGAGAAAACGTATTAAAATCAGTTTTAACTCTACTTGATTTAAAAAAAATGGTACAGTTTTAAAATAAAGTCTGTTTTTTGGCGTGATCGGTATTTTAGGGTGATTTCTTGAAGGTGAAGCAGTTACACTTAAATGAGTAGCATGATTTACATAGTTAAAGACTTGTTTATCTAAATTAAGATCTGTTATTCCAAGATCGGTGGTAATTAGGATCTGTGAAACCAACAGAAAGAGTCTTGAGTTTTCTGTACCCATAAGCATTTTTCAAACAACTGCTTCACAGCAGCTGCTGGAAGAGTGATGCAGTCAACATCATTAGTTCTCCTCCCCGATCACATTTTAGTCACCCAAGTGGCTGGCCTTTTGCTCCTTTTAATTGCTTCTCTATTTAGTACTTTTCCACTGCCTTCACACACAACATCTCAACATCTCTGTAAGAACAATTACAACCTCTTGGTTTTTAAGTGGCTAATTGATTTGAGGATCTTTATCCACCCATTTCTTCAAAGAGCTTCTACAACACAGTTGGGTAGTTTTTTTTCCAGACTCCCTCAATCCAGAGGACATGATCCAATTTTTTTTTTATCAAACACGAAGGCCAAAGACTTCTGAAACCCTATTAAAGCTGTCATAAGCAAAACTTTGTATATGGAAAAGCAACTGACATTATATGAATGAAAGGTGTTTGTGATTTAGTAGATGTTGGACAGCTGAAAAGTAAAGCTTTTGAATGTTTGATATTCTTTTTATTTATTTATTTTCTTAGGTTCTGTGGTCAGATTCCACTGTATCAACAGTCTTGAAAGCTGCTCCAGACCTGACTGAATTTCTCTCAAAGGTAAATTGGAAGTTTATTTGTTGTAGTGTTAGTAGCCCGCAGACTTTTGTTGTGAAAATTAGGAAGGAGGGTTACAGACAAGAGAACGGCAGTTCTTGCATGTTTGTTTGGTGGATTAAGGATGTGAGGAGCTCATTCTTGGGAGTCTTCTTCATCAGTACCTTTGACCTTTGACCTGTACTGACATGTTCTCCAGGTTTCCCTCCTGGTTTCTCATTCTTGTTCACAGTAGGAGCAACACTAAGGATCTCTGGAAAATAAATTGGTCCAATACTCCATTACATCATACAATTTTTTGGACACAAACTGGCATCCTGTCTATTGCATGAACACATTTTCAGTAGACACCTACTGCAGGCATTTCCCAGAAGATGCTACAGAAATGGAGATGTCATTTATGCATTGTTGAACATTAGAAAACCAGGAATTGTTGACTCGCAGACCTACTAATTCCAACCTTAATAATGAGAGAAAAAGACAATTGGAAATGAATTTGCTATCAGTATGGGTCAGTGTGCTGCCTTATGAATGGAAGCTGCTACAAACTGCACTGCTGAGAGAATTTGGTGGTAAATATGATCATCTGTGGGTGCTTTTTTGACAAGTTTTTGCAGCATGTGGATTTTCCTTGGAGTCTGCCAGTTCGTTTTACAATCATGGCTTCTCTAATCTTTGGTTTGGCCGCCTACACACTAGCCTTAATGAGCCATAATAATTTCTAAGGAGGTCAAATAAAAAATAATAGTAATAAGGGTCTCTAACAGAGACAGAGGCATCTTTTTCCACTGCATTCATTCTTTTTTGCTCTGGAGTTTTGTTAATGATCTCACCTAATGTTTTTTGACACCTCAGAGCCTGAGCTGAATTCAGATTGTGTCAGTGGTTGGGAGAATCCTGTGGATCTGGGCTCAGAAACAGTCTGTGTGTGCTGGGAATTTCCAGCATGCTTTGTACCAGAGGCTAATTATGAGCCTGCAACTCTCATCAAAAGAATTACATTTAAAATTTAACAATCCAACGAAGTCTTGGAGATGGTTGTGCCAGTGCTGTAAAGTGCAACTAGTCCAGATGGACAAAGCATGCAAAGGCAGCATACAAAGTCCATGAGGTTGTTTGCTGTGGCTTTCCCAGCCTCTCAGGTCAGCGTTCAGGGGGGAACAACATAAGACTATCTCTCTGCTGACTAGGCTAGAACCTGCGGCCGGAAGCCCTTCGCTGAATAACTGAAAGACCAAAGACCAATATGGTGGTGTGTGTATGCCTGTTAAAAAATCACAGAGAGCTCAGTATATTTCAAATGTGCTCCCCATCAAATGAAAACTTCAGCTTTGGAAAACCATGAATGTCCACTTTGTGACCTTCGTGTTTTTCCTAGCAAGTACCAATACTATAAGAATGCAAAGTATGCAAACTGTGTCCCAGCCTGACTAGCCCACTGTGTTGTTAGAGGAGTAATTCTCCAAGAATCCCACCGGGTCGTTTCTAAAAGGATCCCGCAGTCTGCTTTGACGTATTCCAGACTCAAACAAAGTTTATCCCAGGTCCTTGTATGGTAGATTGTGCAGGAATCCCCCGAGCTATGTTTTGTCCGTACCTCTCGGGATTCTCAGGGACTGCATCTGTTCCTCATGCAATCCTCTCCTCCATGGTGTAGCTGGGTCTCCTCTGTGCATTCTCGGTTAAAATAAGTGCAGACCATTACAGAGTGAAATGTCGTGAGCTGATGTTTAATGCTTAAATATATACACTGCGTTTTACTCTGTTATTAATATTGTTCTTTAGATAGTTGCTTGTTACAATAGAAGTGCATAGTTTACCAAGCTTTTTCTAGCTGACAAAGGAGGCAGGGAAAGTAGAGCTTGCACAGACCAGCCAGGTTCATGAAGAAGAAAAAAAGTTGTGCTTTAAGAAGCATGTTAGTAAATATCAATATTTTTAGAACCAGAATCCCCATCACTATGCTGGGGCATTAGGACCCACACAGACCACAAGGTGAGCACCCCCTACTGGTCCACTAACACCCCTTCCAGCAGCAACCTTAGCTTTCACAGGAGCTCTCCCATCCAGGTACTGACCAGGCTCTCGCCTGCTGAGCTTCAGTAGGTGGCCAGCTGGGAGTTGCAGTGTGATACAGCTGCTGGTGTATGTGTTCTTCATTTCAGTTCACTACCCTGTCCTGTGGCTGGTGGCTGGTGGCTGTGCTCAGTATTAAGATTTGACTTCTCTTCTGTTGCTCATGTATTCACTGGCTCAGCAGTGTGTAAAACCGCGTCCTGCTCTTTGTTGGGTTCTGCAGCTCCCTCAGCTGTTTCCAGATGAAGATTTCGAGAAACTTATTCCACAGCTGCCCGGCCTGGACTCTGCCCCTGACCCAGATCCCAGGTAAGACTGAATGAAGCACCCGCTTTGCCCAGTGGGTCACGTTCCCCTGCGTCAGCGCCCAGACCTGTTCTGACACGCACAGAGAAGAGCATGTAGAGGAAGATTAGTTGCACTTACAATGACTTTATTGTAGTTTTTAATTGGAAACACTGACAGATATGAAGTTACATCTAGTCTAGATCTGATATGGAACGAGCAGCAATGTAAACAATTTAGACAAGCAGTTTGGAATGCTTTAATCTGAGCGGTGCTGTGAAAAATGAGATAACAAAAGTGTGGATGATGTCACCTTCTTATTACAACTAGAGTATCATGCGTCCGTATCATTTGAATTGTGGAACATGTGTTTAATTTGTTAAGTGTTGTATTTTCTCATGGGACAGCCGACTGGTCACGGAAGATGGAACTGCAGGAAAGTATCCCAGATGGGCAGGGATCCTGGGCACGTTCCTGCACTGGAGTGACACGCCCCCCTGCTTCTGGAGCGACACAGCTGACATTCTCTCTTCCTCTCCCCAGATGCCTGGTGTCTCTGCCCTCCCACGTGTTGAAAAACGACCAAGTCAAGCACTTCTTCAGCGCCCCCTCAGTGGCTCAGTGCCCTCAGAGCACAAGTAAGCCTGATTCTGCCGTCTTGATTGAGGTTCTCTGGAGCTGCCACTTTCTAAAAGGGAAAGCCCCTTTTGTTGGGTGTGCCTGGGGCTTCCACCTTCGTGATCATGGGGGGGATTGGTGGTGGGAGGGCACTCCCACTGTGCCCCTGGACTTTTTACTCAAGTGTGAGTGAGTCCTGTCACACAGGGTGATCCGGGGCGCGTGCAGAAGCTGCCGTGCTGGGACCCCACTCATGTATGGGGGCATGTGGACCTTTGCTCAGCCGGTTGGCACTGAGGAGTGACTGGAAGAAACAGGTGTCCTGCCCGTGTGGGCATCCTCTCGGCAGCTGCCAGCGTTGTGGCTCGGCCAGGGAAGTGTGGGAAATGTACTGCAGGTCAGCGATAGCTAGCGGCCCAGGTGCTGTGGTTCTTTTTACACTTCGGATGGATACAGCGGGGGCTGGAAGCCCAGCCGGTGGTGTTACAGCCTGGAGGTGTGGGACTGGCCCCGGTGAGGCCGCGGTGACGTCAAGAGACATCGCGGTCACGCTTCATCTGTGTTCTCTGACCTGAACTAGTGACCTGATCAGGTGATTGTTGTTTTCCATGTCTGTAACCGAAGAGTTCAAGAGAAGCACGAAACCTGCAAGGCAGTACTTAATCTGTGTGTGTAACGGCGGAAAGAAAATTAACCAAACACTGAGCACGTTTGATTTTTTCCTCCTCTGTTTGTATTAGAATCTATAGGGCCTCAAAGGTGTTGTTGTGCGAAGTTTGTGAAGAAGTGATCTGTGTGTGTTTCTTGTTTCAGATTTTGCCTATGTTTCCCAACACAAAGCCTCCAGCACTGCCGTAAGGTAAGACTCTGTAGTTCCACGCAGATCTCTGTGAAGTACACCGGGTTCTCCATGCCCTACTGTCAAGAACTGCCTGGTTGGGCAATGGCCCAACTAACATCAAGGACCCATCTCTAGATCTCTGCAAGCCCACTTCAGAACAGGCTGGACAACACAAAATTGTTGGACAAACAAAAGTTAATGTATGGTCTCTGAACTTCTATTTATTTTATGAATGCCAGCTGAAATACAACAGTTCATGACCTACATCTGGTATTAAAACAAAAAGTGAAGCAAATTGAACACAAAACAAAAAAGCAATGGATATCCTGGAGGATTACTCCAAGAAGGAAGGCAACACAGACATCACTGGCAGCCTCCGCTTTCATCTGATGTACAGCATTTGCGCTGGTCAGGAGGGCAGAGCAAGAGGAGGGCATAATGTCACAGACTATTGGACATCATGGTCCAAATGGAGATAGCAGCTAGCTACCATGGTACCATGAGACACACTATCTTTATCTCACATCTGGGCTTCAGAAATCCTCTGTCTGCCTCAGAAACTCTAAAGCATACGAAATGTGTGCTTTGGGGTTTCCTAAGGATTAGACATAAAGCCAGTTTCATGTCCTCCAAATGTTGATGTTTAGATACAGAGCGATTGTACAGAAAATTAAATTCCCACACATCCTTCCAGAGTTTCTCTAGATTAAAGCCTGGCAGGATCAGGAATAACAAGTACAATGGCAGCAGCCCAGGATTTCAGCAGATCTGCTCCATTCTGAAATCCATCTTGTTTTAATTAGGGACTCCAAGTGGTGCAAGGAGATACGGCCCATAAATGTGCTTTCCAATTGAAATTACAGCCTTTCTGCATCCCATCAGCCCCTGCCATGTTACGAAGTGCCAGTCTGTGCCCCGTGGGTCTGGTGGTTTTGGGTCTGTGCTGCTGTCCGTCTCTTCACGTGTCTGACCACCCTGCGGTTTCTCCCTGCAGGCCGATCTGCGGTGTGGCCAGTGTCCAACCTGTCTTCAGCGGCAGCGGCACGAACCAGCCCTCCCCCCACTCCTACGTCACGCCTTTCCCTTCCCCGCCTGGGGGCGCTGTCCTGTCGTCCGCCGGCGTGCTGGCAGAGAACCCACCACCCTCTCCTGCCCTGGCACCTGCCTCTAACTCACCTCTGCCCAGCCTGCAGCCCCAGCCCAGCCCGGAACAGAGTGGCATCCTGGACTGGCTACGCAAGTTGCGCCTGCACAAGTACTACCCCGTCTTCAAACAGCTCACCATGGAGAAGGTACGCCAGCCACCTTTTAGGGCTTCGCACTGCCTGCGGGGGATGAGTCACTGAGCTAAAAGGGATGTGGTGTCGGACGCTGTCACTGGAAAAGTATGAATCCCATTATGCCCTGGGCGCGAGGCCAGCACTCTGGGGAGAGTGCAGTGTACGTCTCGTGTTAAAATAGTATCCGTGATTCAGAGCTCACAGGCTGCGCTGTTAAAGTGGAAGGTCTCGCGCTGACCAGTAAGTTCTGCTTGCAGTCCCCTCAGTGCTCATCCCCTGCTGTACCAGTCCATTTTAAAGTTGTCCTAACGGGCCATCCTGACCCGAGACACACATTACACTTATGTTCCCGTAAATCTGATGGTGCTTCTACAAGAGAACCCATTCATAAAGTGTAGCTGTTTAGAGGGTAAACGAGGGAGCAAAGAGGAATTTGTGAGAGGCTCTTGGGAACTCAGTAATTCACTACTCTACCTGCCTTCTCACGTCTCTGAACTAGGCTCTCTTAGCAGCACCGAACTCATCTTAATTCCAGCCGATACACTGATTCAACATGAAGCAGGAAGAACACATGGAAATTGCAAGGCGTCTTGATTTTTGGACCATTATCGCTGGTACTGTAGTAGAGGATGTAAGGGATTTCATGGTGTGATGTGTAATGGGGTAGATTTTGTAAGTGAATCTTCCCTTTGCAACCTGGCTGTGTGTTCAGAATGTGGCCCCCGTGGCTCAGTCCTGCTGAAGGAAAGAGCCGAACTGACCTCTGTAAACCTCCAGCGGGGATCAGAAACAAAGATCCAAATGCCCCGTGTGCAGTCCCTGTTCGGGCACTTCTGCATTGCTGTCAGGTGGCCCTGCCGAGCCTCTTCTCACCTGGGTACTGTTCTAGAGTGTTCAGGAGTCACAGGTGTGTAAAGAGTCCGTCCCAGATCACTGCCCATTGTAAAAGCCTGAAGCTTGACCTGTCCCTGGTACAAGGGACTCCCTGAACCCATCTGGAGGCACTGAGCAGAACTGCTGGGCCACGACCCAGGTATATGTTTCATTTTAGAAGCTTTTAGGGAAAATGAGCTCATGTGCTGGGGTTTCAGAGATGTGTTGTACGTTGAACGATGACGGAAATCAAGTACAGGGGCTCAATGCTGAGTCTTATCTTTAAGGGTTAATGATTCTGACACCGATAACGATGCTGTTGGCTGTTTGAGAACGCTGTGTTTGAGGTCGTCCTGCCTGGCCCAGACTCCAGAGGCTCCAGAGGCTCCAGCGACCAGGGAGCTACTGCACCTGTAATAGTGGTCTGGCCTCTGCAGATCCTTCAAGCCTCTTTGTTATGCACGTCCCCCCAAGCTCGGCAGTGGGGTCATTTTTCATTTTTTTATGCTTGTAAGGAAAAAGGCCCTCCAGCTTGAAATGCAGTAAAGGCTGACAGGGCAGCATTAGCCAAGCTGCTGTATATGGGATTAGATCTATAGAAGCTTAACATTTTGTCAAATTACTGGAAGCAATTCATTACACTGTGCAAATGCAGGGTGTTGCTTGTGATTACAAATGCATATATAATAGTAAATAGATTAAAGATATATTTAAAAAACTTCTTATGAACTAAATAAAAATAATTAGTTACCTCCAGCTCAACATCTTTCTTTAATGGGCAAGTCAAAGCAAGTGTGCACAGTATATGGGGCCATGTACTGCATATGTACACAGTCTGTGCACTAGTTTACAGTTTCAAAAGGAGACATTTATTCAAAGATGACAACACTGGGCTTCAGAGTCTTCCGGGCAATAAAGGTCAAGGTAGTCACTCCTAATGTAGCTCTGGTATCAGTGCTGTAACGGCACCTCTGTCAGCAAAAAACATCATGTTTATTAAACAGAGCAAAAGTGCAAAATAAGAAACTGCAAAAGAACAAAAAACAGGAATTACAGTAAATAGATCATTTCATAATTGAGTGTCCCTATGGCTGAAAACTCTGCTACACGCTCACTCTTTACATGTTTGGGAAAGGTTTGGCAATAGTTAATTGTTGTTGTTCTTAGTATTATGGCTTTCGTATGTTACTTTTGTTTTATGTCATTTTTCAGCTTTTGGAAAAAGAGCTCATCTGTCTTGTATTCATTCTGAAATATAAAACCTGCTCTTAAATACTTTTAGAATGATTTTGGCAGCAAAAATAATTAAAAAAAATAACTGCACAAAAATATTATCAAACCATTTAATGTTTGGCTAAATGTAACTTGTCATAGTAATTACAATGGTGAAGTCCTTTTCCAAGCTTATATATAAAGTTCATTGTAGGTAGTGGTAGCTTTTCCTGCCTGTCCATCAGAAAGTATATGCTCCTTAGGTCCAGTTACCCCTGTGGTTCTCTTTGTGGCATTTCTACCTCAGAAATATTAGCATTCATGTTATTAAAATGTCTTGCTCCACACCAGCTCACTGATATAACCATTCAGTTTTTAGATGTTAGAAATCTGATCTAGCAAATATTCAAGCCCTCCCTCCTCACTCCTCAGTGCACCAATTTCCTCCTGCTTTTTTACGGAAACGTTAGCACTGTGGCATGCAAGCTTTCAACACAGAGCCACAGTTTTTTCCACAGGATGTTGTTTTTTGGATATTAATCAATTTGAAAGATTTCTCAAATGTGGGAATGGACTGTGCAGAATCATGGGATCCTTTACAAACTGTGGTTCTGAGGAATACTTCAGTGCAACTGATCCTGCGACACTTTTAATGAGCACAGGCCGCCTTGTTTCGTTGATAACTCGTGATACCCGAGGGAATAAAATAGAGAAATCTGAAATTCTGTCCTGTGACCCGAGCTCTTTCTAATCTCCGATCGATTTCAACTTGATCATCACCCAGGTGCTATGATTGTCAGACTCGGCTAGCTCAGGTGTATTTCTGGCCCAGTTCTGCTCATTTTACAAGTGAAGGTCACTTGTGCTTTCAGTTCTAAAGTAGGTTACACTGCATATAGAATGTGGGCACAGCTCATATTTGAGACAAATCAGGATCTGTTCTGACCTTCCTCTTCTCCTCTGCTTTCTCTGTGCCACAGTTCTTGGCGCTCACAGAGGAGGACCTCAACAAGTACGACCTCACTCAGGGAGCCAAGAAAAAACTCAAGACCCAGCTCGAGCTTCAAAAGTGAGTATGCCAACAGAGTGCGGGCAGCAGCGTGGTCAAGGGGTGTCATAGTGCCGCGGGAGGTAAGAGGTTAAGCGGCTTAATCACATGGCAGAGCTCCACCATCCTGCACAACAGACCTTTCTTCCCACAGTGTGCAATCCGAGCCCTGCGCTAAGCGCTTACCAGCTCCAGCACTGTTGTGCCTTGGATCCTGTAATCTGAGATCATTCCTCATGAAACTGGCTTGTTTCATTCTTCCTCACTGCACCATTTGATTTTGCGTGTGGGAGTGAGTCAGGCGGCCCGTGTCTGAGCCCTGTGCTCTGCAGAGCCTCTCTAAAGCTTCGCTGGTCACGCCCGAAGGCTTGAACTGCAAACATCTTAAAATAAAGGTCCTGCTAACGACGTCTTATCTTCTGGGTGCGATTAATGTTTCCCTGGTGTTTATGAAGTAACAGTAGAAAGTAATAAGAAACATTTTATTTGGCATCTTTAAAAGCATTTTTCTCGGTAGCTGATTTGTCCCGTCTAGTCCCAGGGGTGATAAGTAAAGTGTCACTGCAAGCGGTATGACAGGATTCCCAAATGTTCCCACTTCCACATTTTGGACTGGTCAGAAAACGTTTGATACGGGACGTGCCCCGCACAAAATGTCTTTTCCGCATGATGATTCCCACCTTTACTTTCATCTGCAGTCTGCAGCAGCTGTCCCCGATGGTGGGACAAACAGTTTCTGCTTGGAGACTGTCATTGTATATAGGGCAGCCGCTGGTCAGACCAACAGTGTTTTCTTTCCTGAGGCTCAGCTTTTGAAGCTCAGCTGAAAGGCATTAAAAAGTCATCATGTCCCAGTTGTTTTTTCCACAACTCAAGACAGAGACTGAAACCAGTTCCCCAGCTGCAGTCCCCCCCCGAGATGTAGCCGGTAGTTGCTGGCACTTGGTGAACATTTTAATGGCCTTCCTGTGACTCGTGACTCAGAGCCTTCCTCTGAGGGGGAATTCACAGTTTTTTCCTGCCGCAATGCTTTCTCCCTCCTTCCTTTCTTCAAAAGACATGCCTTCCCCCACCGACTCACAGCTCGAATGTGCACACAGATTGTCTGCCAAGGCACATTTCTGAAAGTCGTCTTGCTGTCGATCAGAAATTGGAAACGTGTGTCATTCACGATGACCACCACATGGCTGATGAGATCTGGCTAGCCCTGTGATCCACTCTTCAGAAAATTCCTGTATGTTTCTAAGAAAATAAGCAGGTTAATTGCTTAAGGAACTCCTCAGGTTGGACCCAAAAACCAGAAGACACTGAGTCCACCAGAAAATGAATCTGAGCCCCAGGAAATGGATAAAGTACCTTGCCACACGTAGGAACTGATTTTCCAAATTGCCTAGTGCATTATACAGTCTTGGAATAATAAAATGAATGTTTCTAATTGTGAGGTGGCTTGGGATTGTGAGGCTGTGATACAGCCTTGATTAGCAGGCCCATTATACAGTATTAAAATCTGCTGGTATTTAATTTAGCTTCACGTATTAATTGAGGTATTATAATTGTTGATTTCTTTATTACACCTTGATCCACATTTTGCCACATGTGGAGATCAGTTTGCTGTAGCCCCTGCTTGTTCTGTATTTCAAATGGTTTTGTTTCCCTGTGGTGTCCCATCCAGAGGAGAGCAGTCCTGTGCTCTATTTCTCAGGAAGAGACTCAGGCTTTCCTCAACAGGAGAGCTGCTTTACAATCACGGACGGATGGAATATTTTTGCAATTCGGCTCTTGTTGTTGATCCGCGGTGAACTTTGATGCACAGAACCCTCGTGCTCTGCGCTATAGGAGGAACACAGATTCCTGATATTTTCATAAGTAACATTTCATAAGCAAGCAAATTCAGGCTAATGCAGAAAAAGTTTAGTAAAACAAGTCTTTTAACAGCACTGATAAAGAGCCTTCTCTCTTGTTAATGATTCCAGATTATTACACCAGTCATTAGTATATGTGTATGAATAGTGTGGATAACTAGACTCCAGAGAGATAACCTGCCTGTGTAGCTAAATGAGAGAAGTATCTCCAATTTGATTAAACATTAACTGTTCTCTGAACATTAAGAATTCTCAGAAGTGAGATGGCAACCTCACACGCAACACACAGTTGGAGAAACACTGTCAGATCCTGGCCAGCCTCAGATCAGGCTGATTATTTCATATAGTTATTAATTTCTGAATTCTTCAATATTGACGGGTAATTTGATAAAACCTGAACTGCCTGTCCATGTAGGGATTTTCTGCTGTGGTACTTGGTTGTGTGTGCCGACTTTCTGATTATGGATTTCAGTGTGCTTGTGACAAAGAAAAGGCTGTAAAGGTCTGGATGGTGTTTTCTGGTTAGCAGGCCGCAGAGCGCCCCCTGTTGATCATATTAGTGAAAAGAGAAAACTGCTTTGGTGTGTTCAGATAATGCAAGTAATGGAGAAATTACTGGAAAAAATCCCCTTTTTGATTATTTTCCCAGTAATCTCTGCCAGGCTTCCAAAGACAAACCCGTGCTTCTTTTCTTTCTCTAGAGGAAAAGGATTCATTATATGTAAATTTAAAAAAATCTTGCAGGAATTAGAAACATATGTAATTTAAAGTTTTTGTCTTTTCCTTATTTGCTTTCCGTAAATAAATGTGCTTGTTATGCCTGCCTTCCACATCTCAGATGTTCCTGTCATTGATTTCTGATTTGTGAGCTTGAAAAGTGTTAGTAATCGCACTTAAGAAAATTGCTGGTCTACAGTATGACTGCAGCGTCTACAGTGATCTACAGCAGGAGGACCTAATGGCTGTTTTTCTTCCTCACCAGTCGAGAGAAGTTTGAAAAGAAGTATGTGGTATCCCAGTTTCCTGTGCCCACCAGCGGGGTGGCCAGAGTCACGCCCACCAGCCACATCGGGCCGGTGCCCCCAATTCATACCAGCAGCAGCACAGGTAACCATCAGGCCTTGCCCAGGTGTGAGAGTCAGGTTTTTCACATTGAACAGTATCAGGTTTGGGCCCACAGTCCAAGGGCATGCTGTCCAGCTTCAATGTCGTCTCTAAGTTGCCCCCCCCCATATGCTTTTTAAATGCATGCTTGTGTCTGTGAATGTCCTGAATGAAATTCCTACCTTGTGCCCTGGGCCTGACTGGGTTAGGCTAAGCGCAACCCGCTAAGAGTGTTACAAGCACACAAAATGTATGGTTCAGGTAATATCAAGGTTTTTTTTTTAAATGCTCAATTTCATCAATGTGATCTGAATAGTCAGCGCTGCCTTAGTCGTATCTCAGCAGTGCCTCAGTGGGTTGAGGTATGGAACAGGCTAGCCAACTGTGTTATTGAAGCCGATTCTTTCAATAAATCTCTGGATGAGACTCTTGGATCAATCAGTCAAGCTGACTGGATGGGCCAAATGGCCAGTTCTGAATTGTAACTGCTCTTATGTGATAGGTTCAACAGTAAGACATTTTGGTGTATCCAGTTCTTAAACCTACTGGGAGAGTTTTGTCGGTATAACAGTGAAAATTGAAATCTGAAAAATCTGATTTATGTGTAAACATAAATACTAAAACAGGACTGGACCCGGTTCTGTTCCCTGTGGAACACCCGATATAAATGGTTTGGTAAAGAGCTTGTCGTTTTTTTTATACTGTTTTCTTCCATGTAAATATAATTTAAACATGGAGAGCAGAATCTGTGCCATACAACCCTTTCCAACAAAATAGTACACTTGATTAGCAAAGTTGTGATAAGTCCTGTAATTCTAGTAGCACTAAGTTGGCATTCGTCTGTAAATCATTCACTGCCCTGACAATTTCTTGCCTTGAAACGAGGCTGAGAAGCTTTGTAAAGTTATAGATAAATGCTGTCGTTGATGTGTAACAGCTTCCTACAAAACCTTATACGAAAACGATAAGAGGCAAACAGCCCTGTAAATAGAGGGCAATCTGGGATGTAATTAGGAAGACAGATTCCAGTAATAGACTGACATTTAAAATATTTGTTTCAGCAGAGCAACCAGGAATCAAAAGTTAAGTAAAGCATCATTGCCATTGTTAATAAATTGATAGGAAAAGGCATGTTTTGCTTATAGAGCCACTTTAGGTGCCCGAATATGTCATGCAAGCTCAACAGACACAACTTCACGATTTTTCCTTCTTTCTGCTGTTCAGTGCGGAATTAACTTCCACTTCTTCCTTTGCAGCCAACGTACACTGGCTCCCCAGTTGGAGCTCTTAAAATACAATGTGCTCATCTGCAGTGGAGGCTGCAGAGATCTTTTTGTCATTCAGTGCACAGAACCACAGAATGTGTATAAATTCACATGAGCTGTAGTCTTTCCCTTAGGGAGTCGTTTACACACTGCTGTTAAACATGGATGAAGAGAAGGTCTGACTTTTGGCTCAGGCAGGGGTGAACATTCATGAGAACTCGTATTATTCAGGTCAGGAGTGCTGCATGAGTCAGCAGTGAAAATAGGTATGACGTCAGTGTGTTTAGTTAAAATAAAGTACAGTTAAAGGCTTTGAGCCTCTGCCATTGATATCCAGAATTTATAACCATCATTAGAGTCGCGAGCAGGAACCCAATATGTCTCCAGGACATTCAGGAACACTTTCTTTCTATGAAAGCATCTACTTTAGGTCTGGTCCTTCTCACTGTTTATACAGAAGACATCATTTGTGTTACAGCATAGATAGCGGTTTACTCAGGTTTCCTGAAAATTGTGAATTTATCGTCTATACAAATGCACCTTTCTTTTGTTCATTCAGCACCTAACAGCTCTGAGCCCTAACAAATGTGTCAGCTGTATGATGGGGTGGGGAGACATTGCTGTCAATTTGCATCCACTGTTTACTTTGAAAGTTTTGTCATCAAGAATAAAGAACCCACTTTCCACTACAGAAGCATATGAGTTTTGATTTCGAATAGCCCACAGCCTATGCCAAGGATGATAACTGTGTAAAAGGGACCAGTGGATGCTGTAGACTTAGTTTACCAAGGCGTATGATTGGTAACCAAGGAGGGCCTGGTGTAGGGGTTGGCATTCTCACTGGTTAGAGACGTTGTTGTGTGTCCTTCCTTTGAACAGAACTGCGCATGGAGGTGGAGCCCTGCCCTCAGCCCTTCCCCAGGGACAGCAGCTCATCCTCTGGATACTCCAGCTCTCCATCCAGCCCCAGAGTGGCTCTCTCCCGAGACGAGGCCTTCGACGGCATGGAGGACAGCCACAGACGTAAGATCCCTGCGGCAGCTGTCACCAGGAGCTCCTTTGTCTTTTGAGCTCCAATAGAATAAGTTTTCAGTTTTCAAGACGCAAGAGCATTGCAACTATGGCATCTGAAATGTTGTTTGAACCTGTTGGATGAAAGCATGTCGTCTCTATGACCAGCATGGTCTCTGGTGTCTGTGGTTAGCAGATGATACAGTTAGCAGATGATACTGTTGACATCCACAGCAAGTCCCAGCCAGGTTAAACTTGGGAGCTAAACTGATCCGCCTGCGGAGTTTTCCTTTCATTAATGGAGAGGGACTGCCTTTTCATCTGTGAGCTGAGGAGGATCAGGAAAAAGAAATCCTCTCGTTAGTTCAACTGTAATTGAAACAATATTTTACGATGATGAAGATGGCAGCTTTCAGGGGATACAAGCCATCTAGCTGTCAGTCATTCAAGTCTCAGTAACTTGTCAATAATCCAAAGCTATGAGATCACTTTACTGAAAATGAGGTAGCTGTACATAATTGAAGTAAGTTGATTCATAGCTTCTTCCAGACACTCATGCTCCTGCTTCCCTCATCTTTCCAGGCACAGAGTCCCTTTTGGAGTGTCCCGAGAAGGAGAAGCCCGCTGTCTTAATGAATCACTTTGTGGCAGCTGGCGCTGCCCGGCCCACAGCTCAGGTCCTGCCAGTGCAGAACGATGGCAACAGTAGCTCCGCCTACCACCTGCCCCTGCCTGTGCCCGTCCTGCCCGTCATCTCCTCCAGCGTGGCGCCCAGCCGGATGCTGAGCAGCATCCGCAAGCCGGACAGGAGTGGCGCCCGGATGCCCCCGCCCGTCCTGTCTCCCCTGTGCCTGGAGGAGAGAGTGAAGACGCTGGGGCTGGGCAGCAACGTGAAGACGGAGAAGCGCTTCCTCAGCCTCAGCCTGGAGATGTCCCCCCTGCCCCCCAGCGTCCCCTCCGTGCTCCTGGACAGCAGCTCCTCTCCGGGCACGCACTCCAGCTTTGGCATGCGAAGCAAACCCGGGCAGGAGGGGGCGATGCGGCCCCCTCCTGGGCTGATCATCGAGACCAGCACGGCGCCCACTGCCACGTCCAACACTGTTCACCACGTTTCCCAGCCGCCCCTCAAGCTCCAGGTCTCTCCCTCTCTCCCTGCCGACGCGGGCGGCTTGCCCATCAAGAGCGTCCCGCCGGCTGTGGTCTGCCCCCGCGCGGCCCCGTACTCTGCCAGTGCCAAAGCAAACTTCTCGGGGGTGAGCGGCGTGCCCATGGCCGCCGTCCCCGGGACCTACTGCTCCAACAGCAGCGCCGCCCCTTCCAGCCTCCAGACCACCAGCATCTCCGCACACGGCAGCCCGGTGCCCAGCTCCAGCCCCACGCTGTGCCCGTTGGCAGACAACAGCAGCTACAGCACAGCCAGCGGCTCAGGGATCCAGACCTCCCAGCAGCAGCCTCCTGCGCAGTCAGGCTGTGTGTGCAGCTCCTGTGGTTGCAGTGGCAACTGTGGGGCCTACAGCACCCTCCCTACCAACTACGCCGGCTACTTCCAGCACCCCTTCTCCGGACCCTCTGTGTTCTCGCTGCCGTTTCTGCACTTCAGCCCACTATGCAATAATGGCTACATCAGCCCGCAGCAGTACAGCACCAGCACTGGTTTCTCCTACCCCATGGTGCCCCCGCCCATGTACAACAACAGCCTGGCCCCGGAGTCCATGCTGAGTATGAGCAGCCAGGCCGGCTTCGTCATGCCCCCCATGCAGAACTTCATGAGCGGGTCGGCTGGGGTGTACCAGGCCCAGGGTATGATGGGAAGCAGCTCAGGACACAAGAAGGCAGGGAACATCTCTTGTTACAACTGCGGCATCAGCGGGCACCGGGCACAGGACTGCAAGCAGCCTCCCATGGATTCAAATCAGCAAGGTACTGCACAACCACAGTGTCCACAGCCCTGCTCTGCCTTTCCTCCTGCCTCTCCTGGTTTTCATTCCAGCTGAGCATCCATCTGCTTGAGTGGACCCTTACAGAACCAGATAGGATCAGAATAATTTTCCCTCATCGACGGTTTTGAATTTTGGATGTTGGGAGACGGCCAGTTAAACTTCAAACACAAAAATAAATGGCAGGAAATCTGCAACATTTTAGGAGCCAAAAGCCAGCGCAGAGAGTAGCTTGCTTAATTAAATCCCCAACAGAGTGACACAGAGCTCAGCTGGAATGAACACCACAAGACACTTTGGATCGCGAAGGGGCAGACTGGCCAGACTTCAAGATGTCAGGCTTTTTACCACTGCTGGTAGAAAAATACCAAGTTGGTGGTTGGTACTGGTGGCTACTCGTACTATTTAACACATAAGGTTTAACATTGTAAGAGCAGCTTTGTAATGCAGAGATTTCATCAGTCGCCCCGAGCTGGTTGCTTGTTGTGAGAAGCAGCTTGTTTACAGTTACAGTTACAAAGAAGCCCCTGTGTGGTTTTGGCACCCTCTCCCACAACTCTAGTTTTATATCTAAGTCCTGATCGGTAAACGAATATCTTAAAAGCCAGTAAAACACTCCAGACAGACCTCTAAATGACAGATTGTGTGCTGTTTTTTCCAAAGCCAGAGCAGAACTAACAAATGGCAGTAGGGCCAATAAACTGCCTGCAAACATAGTTGTTTTAGTGACGGTTCTGCTGGTGTTCTTTTGTTTCCTCTAAAATCTGCTGTTTCTACCACTGTCCCAGGTACCTTTCGGCTGAAGTACGCCCCTCCTTCCGAAAGCCATGATTCTGCGGACTAGGCAGCGTGGACTCGTCCGAACAGGAGGTGCCACCGAGCTGCAGCCTCTCGCACTGCTGAAGTGTCTTATTCCACAACCCAGAGGTGCTCTTCAAATGGCTTTCTTACTCATTTTGGGAATGGTAGCTTTGGCTTTGCACTGATCGCAGACTCCACCTGCGGGCCGAAAGGAAAGGACTCTCGCCAGCAACGGCGCGGATTGTCCTGCCGGAACCAGAGAGCGTCCGCGCCGAGGGGTGAGGGCGAGCAAAGAACAAGAGGCCGGCCAGCCGAGTCAGGTATGGCGGCTGGCAAGCCTCCCTCTTCACGGTCGGTCTGTCTGTGTTTCTTTACCTCTTCGACTCTCAGGGGAGGGCCAGCGGGTGTTCGCTGCAGGGCTCGGCCTCACACACGCACACGTGAGTGCACGTACAAGAGAGCACTTCATGGGAAAGTGGCATTTCTTGGACCAATGCCTGCCGGCAAGCCATCAGCCTCCATCCACTCAGGTTGTGTGATAAAGATCAGTTACGCTGAATGAATCTTTCTGCTTGGATATTTAAGCACAAGTAATCTGCGTGTACAGCCCCATGACAAACAGCTGGATAGCTGACTGTCTTTTTAAGAGTACATTTATATATTGGTGTATAGAACAAAAAAGGCAGATGAAACTGTCTGAAATAGATGTTGTTCCATAAGTACTGCAAACCTTTTCAAAAAGGGAAACTGCAAATGGGTACAACCGTCAATCTCTTGTAAAACGTATCATCCCACAGACACAACACCTGGCTGGTTGTCAAACATCTGTATCCAAGACCACCAAAATAACTGGATGAGGTGACGACTGCTGAGGACAGTTTTTTCAGGTTCTCCCTCTCGCCTGCTGCCAAGGACACCAGCCTGCTCCTCTTGTGAATGTTTTGCAGGATCTACTCTACAGTTGCCAAAGGTTGAAATGCTTGTGTACAGAAGTGCTGAACATAGTGTTTTAAACAGTTCGCAGTCGGTTCTGTTTTACAGCACGAAAGGCTGATTGAGAAATGGAAAAGGTCACCTGTATTTTTGCAACTGTTCTGGTTGTCTGTTGTCAGGATGCTAAACAAAACATAACCAGCAGGTCTGAGAGGACCACAGTAAAGCTAAGGGATTCCAGGTGGAAATAGTGCCAATAGCAGCCCATTTCCACTGGCACACCTGAGCCAGAAAAACCTGATTTGGCCTAGAAGAGGCTGGGTCATCCCTGCAATCAGAGCCCACGAACTGATGTCACACATAACGAACATGCTACCCAGGTCAATGAAAGGTTTCCTTCTGAAATTCACTCCAGAAATGCCAGTCCCACAGCTGACCACCAGTACAAATAAAAGCATGTCCTGTATGAAGAAGAACGTATAGAAATAGTAACAGTTCCATCTAATTTTTTTACAAGTCAGTTTTAAATTGCAAAATAATAGCAACACTGTTTGTGTTGCTTTAGTGTAATCTTGTTAATTTTAAAGAAACGTACAGCTGGGATGTTGTAATAGCAGTTTGTTGGCAATAATAAACTCCAAACAGACCTGGACACAGTCATCCTGCTCTCTCAGGGGAACGTTTACTGCTCATTGGTCTCAAGTTGGGCCAAACTGTAATGATCAAATGCAAACCTCAGCAGAGAATCGGTGAGCCTGGCCCCAGCCAGTGAAAGCCCTGAACTCGGGTTCAAGTGTTCCTGTGGGGCCTGAGTTTCGTGGCTCAGTGCTTTGGTGTGGTATGTCAGAGGAAATGAGGCAGGCAGAAAATAGGGTTTCTACTCCCTGCTGCTCCTCTGGATTGCCAGTTTAAAAAGATTTTAATCATGCTGAAAGAATTATAGACTGGGACCTATTCCAAAACTCTCTGGAGTTCTCTGGATTTTTTTATCAGTACCTAAGGTGATCAATTTCCTTTATGTAAGACTGAAAATTTTAGACTTTTTTAAATATAAAGCTGTGGGTTTTGTAATGTGTATTATTTCTTGTGGAACACGTTTTTAGTGTGTCTGCGTGATGTTTCTGTTTGTGCTAGTACTGCTGTTTGCCCCGCCACTGAACTCTTGCAGCAGAAGTGCTGTTTGCAAACACCACGTAGTCAAACAGCAGGTTAGAGGTTAAATCGGTAAGGCGTACTGGATCTGTGAAAACACTTTGACAGATATAAAGAACACCACTGAGAAAATGACCTTAGGTTTGTATACTTAAAATAACATTTGGGCTTAAAAATATTTTTTGCCACATTCTCTTCTAGATCCAGGATTACAGGTGTGATTCTGGGATGTTAATTCTTATGAATGTTCTGACTAAAGGCCTTGTCTGTAAAAGTAAATGAAAGTACTATATGTAGTCCCTTAAGGCTCTTGTAAGTAAAGACTTTGCCACTAGGTGGCGGCCTTGAGGACCTTGGGGAAACAGGTCACTTTACAGTAGCAATTCTGGAAATGGACTGGGAATCTTGATCAGGAATGGCTCAGGTGGGTGGGGCCTGGTGTATAGAGACAGAATGCGCCAGCTGTTTCCTTTAGTGTTGGAGTGCTTCTCCAGTTTCCACACGCAAGTAGAAAAACACTGCCAGAAGGGAGACCTACGTCAGGACTGGAATTCTGGTGTTTTATGAATACATTGGTTTATGTTTTTTTAAGGATGTTTTTTTTATAAACAATCTCAGAAAATGGCCCTCCTGCTGATGTGGGGAAAGGTTGTTTTTCCAAAGAAACCAGTCTAAGCGCTTCCCAGCTTCCGGAGGGGTGTGGCTGGAGGTGGGCTGAGTCTTAGCATGCCCTGTGCACAAAGAACAGCCCTGCCGCTGGACTGGGTGCTCCCCATCCTCTAACGAGGGCGCTCAGGCTCTCAGCTCGGTGGCCTCCCAGTGCAAGCTTTCTGAGGGACGGGAACAGTGGGAGAATGTGCTCCACATGCCTGGACATCACAGCTCATGTCAGATACCTGGCTTTGTCTTGTGTTTGTGAAAGGGACCGTCCATCTGACAGCTCACAGGCATTCCTCTCGAGGGCGCCTCCAGCTCCTGGTGCTGAGCAGTCACCATCACACCTCTCTGTCCTTCACAACAGTACAACGTGCACTAAGAGCAATGCCTTTTCTGATCTTAGACAACTTTAAACAAGTTTTATGAGCAGAAAAGGTTTTGCGCCATCCTGCTTCAAACAACATTATTCAGATGCATCCAGCGAGGTTCTTCATCGTACTGATCAAGATGAGTATCTGTTACAACATCGCAGAAGATTCAGAGCAGCTCCTTTCCACTGCAGCATAGTCCCATTTTAGCCCACAATGTGGACTACAATTCAGCAGGCTGTGTTTTTATCAGGATTTCTTTTTAATAGGCAGGCGTGGTTTGCCATTAATTTTACTTGTGGAAATCATGTTACCATACACTGAGGTTAAACATTGTAGTACAACATATCAGCAGTGAGAGGCTGTCTGTGACAAGTCTTACAGTATATAATCCTAACAGATTTGTACGTAACAGTCAGGTTGTGCAAACTTTAATGTGAAAGTTCACAAGGCGCACTGTCTGTGTATGAACAGCAATCTTGCTGTTGTCTTATAAAAACACAGATTAACATTGGTCTGGAATTTCCCGGATTGTCTCACCTCAATCACTCTTGGCGAGTCTGCAAAGCCACATCCTGGGATCCTCCGCAGGGATGAAAAATAATAAAACATCTTCTCCTGTGAGATCTGGATCTCATTGTGGTGTGTTTTCCTGGGGAGTGTTTAGTGCAGCGAATGCCTTTTGCAGTGAGTACTTTTGTTTTAAAAAGTGAGGGAAAGATTTTGTTGGTACAGTGCAGCACTGGTTCACAATACATACAGCTGCACTGGTGATGTAGAGCCGAGATCCCTGACCTGATGCTCACCTGTGCAGCTGTAGAAATGTACCAGGCCTCCCTGTACTGTACTATCAGCTGTACTGCTATAGTGCTCTTTCTTGCAAGTTCTATAGTCTCTGCACTGAACTGACTTCCCAGTGTCTACTCACACATCTCCTACCTTGTGTAGGCAACTTGTTGAGCCTGAAACATGACTCATACAGGCAGTAATCGCTGGCTGTCAGTGGATTGGGGAACTCCCGTGATGGCAGCGACTGTGGTTGAGACAATGACTGTCACATGCTGAGGAAGTACAGTCTTTTTAGATTAATACTTAGCCTTTCTCTGGCTCAATAACACCATAGTGGGTTATATTCTCAGAGTTTTAGACCTTGAGAAAAACTCAAATGACATACTCCATGTTACAGACTGTTCCAAGAGATGCATAGGTCCACCATTTCAGAAAGCAGCTGTCTGGAGGACTTGGCTTTGTGCAGTGTTTTGTGTTCTCATGCAACTCACGCAGCTTGTCCTTCAGTCTCTTTTAGAGCCAATCTCTCTCACTCTGCACTTTTTTCTTGAGGGGCATTTGAGCAAATTGTTTCTGAAATTTAAGACCTAATAATGCCTTACCAAGTGTTCATCAGTTATTGGGATGCTTTAATGGCTCAGTATTATTCTGTTTTGTAATTCAATTTCAGAGGTAGGACTTTTAATGAACAAATACTGTAAGCTGCCTTTCCCAGAAGCCCTGAAAAGCAATTCCATGGCTCCAGTAAATAAATCTAATGTGGTCCAGAGTATGGAAAGGTTTAACATAAACATTTTGAATACACTAAGCTGTGATAAACCTATAGCTGGGATATGTTTACACCAAAAAGATCAGTTTAAATAACAGCGCATCTTGGTAGGCCCGTGCTGAAGCTGTTTTGCTGATATAACAGTCTAGACTTGGGCTGCGAAGATGAGCAGGACACAGCTGAAAGAGTGGAGTGTCACTGGGTGGCATCTTCTTGCTTCACTCATCCAGTCACACCACTGCCCCAGCTCTTCCACCAGCTGCTGAATTCTTGTTGCATTTCTTCTCCAAGATAACGTGCTGTGGGAGCTTAACATGGGAAATGTGGGAAGCACCCTGCTTTCTGAATAAAAAACAGAAATGGGGAAGTGAAGATCCTGGAGAAATTGTTTAAATATCTTAAGATTTTCTTTATAGTATTTAAACGTTGTCAGAACTTTACATTTAACATGACAATTTGACTGAAATGTTGGTGTTGGTCTTGTTCGATGAAATTACAGTCTTCAGTGCCTCTGAAGTCTCTTGGACTTGGATGCCAAGTATAAACCAGCCTGTTTAGAACCAGTGTGACAATCGAAGTTGAGTCTGTTCTATCCCAGGACAGATGTGCTCTTTGATCTTCTGGAATCACCATACATGGACCATTGCAGGAAAAGGCTGGTTTTCTTTGTCCCGCTGGCTTTGTTGTCGGGACAGTGGTTCCTTGCATATTAAAGAAATCCTACGTTTGCTGCCAGGCTGATCATGAGGGTCCTCTTTACACCTGCTGGTGGTGTCACATACCCCAGCTGTGGTGAAGTGGGCAAACGCGTCTCGTTTTGTGTATATACTCATAGCTGTGAACAGGAAAGCGCTTTAAAGAAAAGCATGCATTTGGTTGGGCTCAGAGACATTTGGCTTGTTCTTTTGTCCTAACAAAAGGATGTTTTGGGGCAGTATATGCTTGGGGACTGTATGTTTAGACTTTAAACATGTATTTACAATCATTTATTTTCAGTTTTGTTTTCGTAGGCCATACGGCCTGCTGCAGGAGAGAACAAGCCCTGGTCTTTCCTAGGTGGAAGCTAGGGGCTGATGGAGGGGGGATCAGTACTGGGTTGAGGAATCGGTCTTCATTTAGGTTACTGGTACAGCAGTTTTAAGAACTTTTTTTATTTTTTGCTTAACGTTTTCAAAATAGAACATACCTTTTTTATTATATAAACATGTTTACTTGGTAACGAAGGGAAACTTGATCCATGCGGTTTCTTTATAAGTGCCAATTTTTGAGTATTCTCGCTCAGTGTGCATGTGGCCTTAAACTCTGAAAACCTTTTGCATTTTTAAAAGTATTTAATATGCATCCGATTGAACTTGAAGTGTAAATCTTTTGTTTTACAATGTCACCTTTTGTATTTTATTACTCCGTTTATTAAAAAAAAAAATGTACATTTTAAGAAATGACTTTATATGTTTTACGAAAAAACATTTTGTAAAAAGTTTTTAAAACCATTTCTGTCTGGAAGTATTTTTTTTTTATTTCCTTTAACTGTTTAGCCACAGATTTAATGTTTTTTTTATAATCAAGAACAAATTGGGGAAAGTATCTTGTTACAGTTGTTACAAATGGCATGGTTCAGATTCTTTGTTTAAAGGTTTAAATCGTACAACTGGGCTGGAGGTGCTGTCCAGGCCCGGCCCACCACTGCAGTTTTTCTTTCAGTTCTGACCCAGTGGTTAGCATTGCTGCCTCACAGTGCCGGAGCGCCGTGTTCAGTCCTGGATGGGCATCATTGTGCCCTTAGTATATTGCCTCTGTGATCATGTGCGTTTCCTGTCACAGTCCAAAGACATACTTAAGACAGCTTTTCAGTGACCACTCCACTCTGTCACCCTCAAGTTCTGGTTCACTTAAGATGAACAAAAAGTCCTCGTGAGAATAGATGCTGCAAGAGAAAAGAGACACCTGCACAACAACTCAGAACAGTAATTTATTTTGGGGGAGGTGATTATTTATACAGTGAGCGCTATCCTTACAGACGGTTATTCAGGATACACAGTGTTTATTTACGTTTACAAGAACGCTCGTCAGTTTCGGGAAGCATCGAGCCCAGATCCAACCTCAAAGCACAATCGGATTTTTGTAATGTACAAAATACACAAGTCAAAACGTCAAACAAATGTACACAATGAATGAAAACTAAGAAAAAAAAACATGCACATACAAATAAAAGATTAATATTTTGAAACACCAGCCCTAAAAAGTCTTGTTAACATAAATATGTGGTTTTAAAATTTGAACTTAAACAGGAAATTAAGCATAACCATGAAACAAGTATTTTAGATGAAGCAGCTGTTTCTAAACATTTAAATAGATCTTAGAGATGGAAAGAGAATTTTAGGTTTTATAAAATGACAGTTGCTCATACTTCCCTGCTAAGAGAGTTAAAATGATTTTACTTTCCAAGACAAACAGCTAAAAGGCTAATGTGCGATAAATATAAATCTGAAAAGATACACTAGAACTAAGGTGTAATACATCTTAACATTTTCAAAGCTAACGGTTAACTACACAGATGCCTTTCTCCGCATGAATCCTGCAGAATTTAAACCAAATGGCCTGAATCCTGAAGTACCTAACACGCAGCATTGAAAAAAAAAAAAGTTTCTTCAGTTTGCACCAATGCCAATAAAATAACGGTCTTGAACCACACTATTGTCAGTTCCCAGAATCCACTTGCCTCCATTCGCCTAAATATTAGCCTTTAGGTTACACAGTGATTCCTCAAAACCTACAATATAATGGACGTTTGGTGTTCACAGGAAATAAACCCCAAGTACCAAATTGATTGATGTACCCAACAGTCTATAATATACATTTTGCTCTCAAGAGATCTACTTTACAGCAAGGCAATTAACATGTTTTTTTTTTAATACAGAATGATCTCTTACGTTAAGCAAAAAAAAAACCCATGATCCCTAGCAAGCAGACAGAGCATGCCTCTGAAGGGTAAATGTCGAGGCGAAGGGGCACCAAGGGGGGGCTGGGGGGAGTGGGAGAGTTGTCTGTACAGACAGTTGGCAGCATTATGCTACTTTGCAAGGGTGCTGACTAGTTGGATCTACTTGGGTTATCTGTTCCAAGACACCCAGTTTTATCGGATGCATCTTTCTGGCAGACAAAAAGAAAAAAAGTACCCCGCCAGTCTTTGGCCTGTAACAAGTGGCCAAATCGGGAGGGTGTGTCGCAAAGACCTTCTTTTCCTGACAAGATGCTCGTTGACATTTGTTTCTGGAGGGGTGGGAGTCTTCAGGCCGTGGCTTGGAGCGGCGCGCGATGGTTACAGGCCGGCCTGTCCTCCAAAGGTCTCCTGAGAGGCGTAGACCATGTAGAGGAAGCCATCGTCATCTTTCTCGCGCTCGTACACCTCGGAGATGGGAGTGGAGACGCTCACCATGCTGTGGCCGTTCACCAGCAGGAAGAAGGCCTGGTTGGAGTTCAGCTGCAGGCGCCTCCTGGTGACCACAGAGAAGATGGACAGCATAAGGCTTTTGACTCCACACCAGGGAAGCGGAAACCCATTCTCTCTAAACTAGGGGTCTCCAACCCTGTTCCTAGCAAGACCCGAGATGCATTTTACAGAACACCATGAATTTATTTTTTTTATCATATGAGTCACAAAATAAGCACAGTTTGCTTAAGGGCCCCTCGTTCCTGAGGATTGAAGAATTGATTTCAATCGATATTGTAAGAGGGAGGGAGGTGGAGATGAAATGGTGTATTTTTGTCAGAATCGCATTTCCCCAGAAATCTTATCAAGAAAGCAAACTATAGCATCTTTTAAAGAAAAGCAATATCCATTAGCTTGTCAAATGTGGGAATTCATTCAGGTAAAGGGACATTGTACCCCCATCCACAAAACTCTATCAATTTACCTTGAGATTAAGTAACCAACAGTATAAGAGCCACAGCCCAACTGTGCCATCAATGCTTCTCCTAATATAGTCTGACGCAGTGGATGACAAATTCACACAAGGGCTCTGAGTGACTATGTATACCACTGTCACAAAGGATGACAAATACATTTCATATCTAGTGTTAAAAGTAAATCCTTTGGTTGAATGGTTAAATAAGTCATATCCACCTCACCCAGATTAGGCAATATCTCAGTGTATCCCAGATGCCAGAGAGTAAATGATTATTAATTGTGCCCATAATAAGCACCATGCTCAGCAGGGTTTTGGACAGGAGAATAATACAAATCTCAAATGTTATAGAAAAATACATATAATTTTTTAACCCAAATATTTAGTTTTCACAAATACACCATTCTCCTTCTGTGTTGTTCTCTGCAGAAGAGGCAGTCACAGTTAAATTTATTTATTAGCAAATTATAAATGTCTTGTTTCGCATGAACCTTCTGTATCACAGCAATGTCTAGTTTAGGTATGTTGCATCACAGTTAGCACACGTTCGCTCCAGAACAGAAGCAGAACCTCATCTGTCATGGCTATCAGAGACTAAATTCAAAGTCTTCGATTAATAAAGTACACTCAGCTGCAGAATCTCACTTGTATGTGAAAAGGGTCCAACGTCTATAAACTGATACTTGACTAGTCACCGACCATACGTAAGCCCACTCTTGCACTAGAAAAACTTTCTGGATGCATGAAATGTATGAGATCACATTGTAAAAACATGAATATTTGGAAGGCCACTTCAGTGACAGCCCCCTTAGTGATTTCATTGCTCCAGAAAGGGTACTTTTCACTCTGGCGAGACTGTAGCACAGATTTCTAAACGGGACACAATGGGCCAGGTTGCCTGGTCATCTTTGGAAGCAGCTGTCCATGTAGTGGCAGAGCTTGAAAAAGCATTGCAGCTTGTTGCCACCTCCAGTGTAGTCGGATGCCAATGGCTACAAATCAGACATTTGTCAAACACAAGGCAGCACCTGAAACCCTGTAGCACCAGTAGCCTGAACTACATACAATTCCCAGATTGTTTCTTCAAGACTTCCATCCCACATTTGCAGCAGATAGTACCATACCTGATGATCTTGATCAGTTCGCTCATGTTGACATGATCAGGGACCAGGAATTTGGTTTTGTCCAGGATAGGAAGCTGTTTCTCTCCCTTGTATCTCTCAATGATCACCTGAAACAAAGCAGAAACTCTTAGAAAGCCCCGTTTCAGGATTGTGCCGTCAGGACAGAAGACATGTCGGCAGCTGTGAGCCCTAGAAGTTTGACTGGTAGCCGTGTCCCATGCAGGGTGTCTGGACTGGTCAACTGTTAAGAGTTGTTTGCTCTTATTTCTGTCTGTATACCACCGAGGTATTTCATAGATTTCTCTTTAACAAACCTGCAGAAAACTTAAGATTAAATGTTAAAATAGTGTAAAAGTTAAATCAAGAAATGTTCTTGTGGCTAGGACTACTAGTCTTTGTGGTCAAGACCCCATTGGGAACAAAAATCAATAAAACACTGGGACTTGCAGAATCAGAAGTAAAATCCACTGATCTAAATTTAAGTTGCTAGACTACAGTAATGCTTTGCTCACTAGTGATTCAATGTATTCTTAAGTTTTGGGTGTGTAACAACTCAGTGGCCTGAATTTTAACTAAACCTTAATCACATTACATGACTAGCTTGTTACTGGTTATGACTAGGAGTTTAGATTTTTTAAGTCTTAATTCTAAGGTTCTCCATAGATTAGCACCCAATTACACAGATGATCTTTTCCACCCACAAACATAAGCTTCAATTTCATGTCTTTTGTATGAAATGAATCAAATTATTCAAAACTCCAGATCTGCCCATATACATCTTAAACATAGCTGGGAATAATACAAGAGTTTTTGTAGGCTGACAGTGAGGATCCTGCAGTACTGTGCTGCCACAGCTCTCTCCAGTCCCAGTGCACAGATGGGAGGCTGGTGAAACATGATACTCTAGGGGTCTAAGGGTACAGTCTCATACCACAGCCACATTAATCCTACAGTGCCATTGTGGGCGTCTTGCAGATTGTTTTTTTAATCCCCTTGGGAAAAAAACTGCATTAGGTCCTTAAAACCATTTCCTTTTTGATCCACAGGGTGTAATTTCAGGCCTCTTGTTAGTCTAACAAGAATTTTAAATTTCATTTTAAAAGTGTGTCGTTTGTGTAGGGTTAATAATGATTGATCCAGTCGTCCTCTCTAAAAGAAGATTCATTTGCTCTTCCTCTGCTAGACACGCATAAAAGGCATTTCTGTGACAATGCTAAAAATCCAGCCCAACACAAATCTGAGTGTACCATTTACTCCTCACAGAGCCTGTCACATGATCATACACTGCTAAACGTGAATGGACCATTTACATGAAATTGGTGAGGTTAACAGCTTTTCTAATAATGGTGCCTGGCTTGCCATGTTAAAAGCAATACAGTACATCACCTTAAGGGTATGCAATTAATACACACTGTTATATGGCATTTTAAAATGCTTCTTTTTACACTGCAAGTCTTGCATATTGTTAGAGATAATCTTTATGCCACAAACACTTGTTTACTTGGAAAGAAACCATCATGCAGAGCAAAGAAAGTTCTACATTAAAGAATGTGACCAAAAAGGTATGAGTGCTATATACAAACTTGTAAGACAAATACATCTCTAGGGCCTGATGGTATTCTGCTAAATGCACTTGAGGAAATGAGGGCTGTTATTTATAGACTGCTAATAAGTCTTCACATTTTCACTGCAGACAAGGGGTAATGCCCATTGACTGGAAAATTGCTAATGTAGCACACTGGCACAAAAAGGGTGACAGAACTGAACTTAGTAATTATAGACCAGGACATGTTATTTCTATGACATGTAAGGTTATGGAGAGAATTATTCGACTAAATTAGACAATTATCTGTATGGTAACCACTCTAAGGCATACTCAACAATGCTTGATAAAATGTAGGCCTTGCTTAACTAACCTATAAAGAGTTCTATGAATAAGCAACAGCAGTAATACACAGAGCATGTGATATAGTATATTTTCCATTAGGATTCTGATAAAAGTTGAGCTTGAAGCTACTTCTGAGAAATATATTGCAGACATCGTGCTCTTCCAGAGGACCGTGCAAAAATTATCAAGGGGCAAACAATGTTGGGATACCTTAGTACAGAATTTGTACTATGCAACAGTTACACTAGAGCACAACGGAAGCAGCATGAGATTTTAAGATTTGGGAAATGGAGGCACTTATTTACTCAAACAATTGTGGGTTCTGGCACAAGGTATCCAACCATGCTGTTGAAGCCAATATACTGCTTTCTTTCCAGAAGTAGGTGGTTGATTTCTTTGAGTCAGACGGCTACAGAGTAAATGAGCTCAATGGACTGAATGTAATCCTTTCATGTGTATCAACCCCAGAAACAAGGGGTTCATCTCGTTACTTACAGGGATTTTGGTTGGGTGCTGCTCTCGGATCAGCCTGACATCTTCCACACGTTGTTCTGTGAACATGAAAAAGAGTCAGGCAATAAAAACCAAAGGACATGTCGAGGGGTGAATTCACACAGGACCTCCCTCATACACCAACCTCAGCATTCTCATGGAAATGAGATCATCAGAGTAATTTTTATTCTGCTGCAACAATGAGTCTGGGACCAACGGAGAAGGAACTGAAAGCCACAATGGACGCATCCCAAACCACTGAAATCACCCTGTGGCATTCTGACCTCTGACCGCATATTTCCAGTTTTTTTTATCTTCAGCACTGCAGTGCCAAAGACCTAAGGTACCCATTTCTTACCAAGCAGTCGTCTCAAGGTCAATTTCTTTCTGTCCTCCTCTTTAGCAGCTACACATGCAGTACAGGGTGCCCCAAGATTTAATTCAAATTCTGATCTTAACCTGGCCAGTGAATATTATTGCACTTGTTATATTCATTGCTCATTATGGTGTTTCCAATTAAAACCTCTACTTGCCACTAATAATGAAAACAGACTTTTGCTGGGAGGACAACAGTACAAAGTACAAGCTCTTTGTTTCAGAAAGCACCAGCTAACATCTCTACTCAGTCCATTAAAAGACAAGTCACGGATCCATTCACTACCATGGTATTACCCAGACCATTGTTCTCCAACCCAGGTCACGATCAGACTTAATCAAGCTGGGTTGATAGTCACAGTCAATCTGGACAAGACCAGAGTTATGGTTTTCCAGAAGAAAGCCAGACCTCAGGGAAACAAGTACAAATTCGCACTCAACAACAACAACAACACCACCACCACATTGGAGCACTCATCCAGCTACACATATCTTGGTCTCACCATCAGCTCATCTGGGAGTTCTGACCTGGCAGTGAAGGCACTGAGGGAGAAGGCACTCAGGGCATTCTATGCAATAAGAAGGAGGCTCTTCAAAATCAATCCACCAACAAGAATCTGGCTCCAAATATTTGAAAGTGTAATCCAACCCATTGCCCTATACGACAGGGAAGTGTGGGGTCCCCTCACAGACCAGGAGTACACTCAACAGGACAAACACCCCACAGAAAATCTGCACATGGAGATCTGTAGAAATATCCTCCGTGTGCAGACAAAAATACCTAACACCGGGTGCAGGGCTGAATTAGGCCAGTACCCACTATTGATAAACATACAGAAAAGAGTATTAAAGTATTGGCAACACCTAAAAAACAGCGACCAAGCTTCCTACCACTACAAAGCCCTGCTGAACCAAGAGCTGAGCCCAAAACAGAGCCCCCTGAGCCAGCTGGTCCTGAGGCTCACTGACTCAAGCCAAACTGACACCAGGCAGCCTCAGGACAGCACTGCTGGAGCACCACAACTCAAGACTCAAGCACATCACAGCACATATTAAACTGCAATATCTCACACACTGGGATACACACACACACAAACACAACATAAACTGGAATGCTACAAAACCCTAAACAGACAATACACACTAGCTGAATATTTGACCAAGATAAGAAACAGCAAAACGAAACAGACCCTGACAAAGTACAGGCTCATTGACCACAGCCTGGACACACACACTGGACACAGGCAGACCAGGCTGCCCAGAGAGGACAGGCTGTGCTCCTACTGCCAGCGGGGAGAAACAGAGACAGAGGTGCACTTCCTACTGCACTGTGACAGATACTCTGGGATTAGAGAAACATTCTTCCCTAAATTCAGAAATCTAAGCCCAGAATTCCCACACCTGCCAGAATCACAACGGGTCCCAATCCTACTGGGAGAGGGAGGAGAGAAGTCGGTTGAACTGGCAGCCCAATATGTAATCTCCTGTCACAGCCTGAGGAACAGTGAGTCTGTCTCCCAATAATGCTCCATCTGTCTACAGTATATGTAAATATTATGATATGTCTTTGTTGTAAATGTTTGTAGATTTTATTTTACTTTTTTTTTTGTTACATTTTGTGTTAATTTTGTTATTTTGATTTGCTTTGGCAACACTGATTGCACCCATCGGTCATGCTACTAAAGCACCTTGAATTGAAATTGAATTGATAAGCAACCATCACAATGTGTACTTCTAATTGGCTGATTGTAATCAATTAAGAGTCTTACAAACACTCCCAATCTTAAGATAAAGGATGATTCAGGGTGCTCTACAGTATAACCCAAGGAGACCCCTGATATAGCTCTAAAAATAATTGTACAGAAAATACAATTTTAAATAACAGTCTCCAAAATATATGGCAATGCAAACATTTAAACTGAAACTCAGGTAAGTTTTCATTTGCATGACAAAGTCCATTTATAATAGCTTTGCAGAAAAATCTTGAGAGATGTTAGTAGTTGCTAACACTTAATCTTCCAGAAAAAAAACTGCTCTGGTATAACAGGAATTCAATAGAGTAAATATGATCTAAGCAAAACGCAGAATGCAAACGGTTGTACATAAGACCTCCAACCTTTCTTAGGCTACGGGCGAGTGCACAGTGCTGCATCAGCTTTGCCATCTGTACACAGGTTTCAGTTTTCAAGGCAGCCTTCCCAGATCACTTCAGACCCAGGCTAGAAATCTAATGAAACTGCAGATTGACTGCCAGGCTGCCAATGAGGACTCCTTCAGAAAGTGCCTGTGGAGCCCCTCCCGTCAGCTCGGAACACACTGAGGAAAATGTGAGGAGTGGGAGGAGGGGACTGAGCTCAGTGCAGGCCTAGTGTCTCACAGAGCCTGGCTGGCTTTGATTGCACTTTCCACCACAGAGCCACCAGCTCACTAGCTGAAGCTTCCTTTCCAAAGGCAGGACTACAGCTGCTAATGCAATCGGGGAAAAAAAAATCAAAAACACTACACACATGTATTGCCAAGCTAAAGTAGGTTTTAGATGGCTAAGACATTACAGCTCCAACTGCACATGTAAATACTTATTGCATAAATAATCCCAGACTCAATCAAAACTTTGGACCAACCTCAAACTGCAGGCTTCAAACCCAATACTTGATGGTGGTTTGATTGCAAGAGATGTGCCCGAAGGAAAAGCACCATTAAGCAATGGGTCAGTAATGTGTGATCAACAGGCAGTTTAACACTCATTTTCCTGGGTCAAATCAAAATTGTCAGGACAGAACAGCCAAAGTCTCCATTAGCAAAGTTGTCAACACACCAGCTGGAGTGGGGGAAGCAAAGAGTTTCATATCTCCCAACAGGTCCAAATTAATGCACCATACTGACCGGGGTTTCAGGAATTGGCCGTGGGCCTAACGTACAGGGGCAGTAGCTGTGACACCAGATACAGCTTTATCTGTGGTCTGATGGGCTGCCCCAACACAACAGGAGCTATTCAGGTGACAATATCAGTGTGACATGCAAATACTCCCTTTCCCATTTGGTACCTCTGGCTAAGCTACAGCAATACGTCACCCACAATGGAATAAATGCTGCTTCTCACAGCAGGGTAGCACAAAGGCCCCTACTACTGCCCAGCCAAGGAGCAACGAGATGCGGTGTCACCTGAAGAAGGCTCCACGGCCGAAACGTTGCGTTTTCTTCTCTTTTCAGCAGGGAATAAACCTATTACTTGTTCCTGGGGGAAAATATGCTGTATAATCCCCGTGGGAGGGGCCATGGGCCCTGAAGAGAAGTGACTCAGCCTGTCACAGGACAGCCCAAAGTGGGGTTCTGGCACGCAGTCACTCCACACACACATCCACACCGCAGATGACCAGCCCACTGCTGGAACAGAGCAGCCGCCTGCTCCTGGATGACCTCGCCACAGCATCTGAACATTTTTAACCTCTCTCCGCGCGAAATGATTAATCAGCCAGCCAATAATATTAATAAGAGCCCCAACCATTAAACATTTCGCCTGCTCGTCTCTCAGCTTTCATATCTCGGTGGAAGGGCCCTGTTGTTAAAAGATGCAAAGCTCTCTGCCGTGTGAAATGAAATCATGTCTATCGCGCATCGTTTTCGAGCGCTTACAACTGCTGGTAACCAGTATCTGCTGCTTCCTGTCCGTTTTGAAGAAACCAACAGCTTTTTTTCCCCCAACGTGTAATTCAGTGTTGCTCATAGTCACAAGTCCACCTGCTGAGTTTTTTCTTCCTTTCACTTTCTTTTTGCTTCATTTGTATATTGTGAGCGCTGGTGTACAGCGCATGGAGTTTCTTGAAATAAAAGAGCGCAGAACTATTGGCTAGGTAGCGGTGGTCCGGAAAACGATCGTGCTACTTGTCTTTTCAATTTGCTAAAACAAACAGTTTTACCAAACGGTTTTATCCTTTGCCCCATTACTTGTAGCGGTGTGCGATTGAGTAAAAAAAAAAAACAAACACTGGCCATCTGCTCTTATCCCTATCTCTCTTGTTTGAAAAATATTACGCAGTTTATATTTCCCCTAGCCCCCGCACAAACAACGTTACAAAGTCCAAAATGCTTCCAATGTAGGAAAAAAACAAACAACATCTGGATCAGAACAGGCCAGTATAGAGCTACGGGTCAGGTATTTATTAAACGACAAGACCAAACAAAACAACTGAAGGCGTGTAAAGTTAACTGTTAGTAAACTTGTTGTAGCCACGGGAATGTAACAAAAAATGTAACGGTTAAAAAACGGTATTTCCCCAGAAACGTTACACAACGTTGTTGCAATACTGGGCACAAATAAAAGCTGACCGAGATGACAAGGGCATACCATGCGAAAATTTTAAAATAAATGCTGTTCGCCCATCACTCCACATGGGAATCGATAAGTGGCGGATGCTTTTAGATGTTAATCTTTTTTCCAATATTAGTTGAGTATTAAATCGGAACTCGGAAAGAGATTTTAGACTCGACTCCGAGGCCCAGTGTTGATCAAACTCCCTCCCCATCCCCCAATCCTGCAGCGAATCTACTGCATTTAGAAAACGTTTGGACTGGGGGTGTTTTTTAAGTAACCCATGGTAACGTAATAAAAAAACACTTTAAAAACTGTACTTTTAACCTCAACATATAACATGTAGCCTAACTTGCGCACCAGGCTACAGCTAGTTTCCAGGGCGCTGGTTATGTAAGCGTTACCCTTATGACTAGACACTTAAAAACAATTTGACAGCCACCACCCTGAGGGTATAAATGTTCAGTTTTTTCTGTACTAGAACGCTTATCAACACTAAAATGCTTTAAAATTCTTACAGTGTTTAGTCACCCAAACGTTTTCCTAAACGTTCACGTAGCTACAATACTGTTACAACACACTAATAAGGTCAGAAAACAAGACATGCTAGCTTCACTGTCGTATATAACGAAAGCATTTACACTAACACAGCAATATTTACCTTACTACTAACTGCCAGCCCTTGATGAAAATATAGAAAAATAACTGTGCCTACCAAATGTCCGCCTTTGTTTGAAGGTCTTTTCTGAAGGCATAGTTATCCGTCGAGGTTATATATACCGTCTTGCCTTCAAGACCAAAAACACCCGACGCAAAACAGCGTGGTCTACACGAAGCTTAACAATAAATCGACAGAACCTCTCTCTCTTTCCTCTTTCGTGTGTCGTTTCTGCAGATTTCCACCTTAACTAGCAAAACAAACCCGTCAGCTGGCCTGTGACGTCAGGTTTGAAGGAGGGGCCGGGGCTGCGCTGTGGGAGATGGACCTATTCTAGGTCGAAGTCAAGCAAAAAGCGTACTTGTGTTATTCATGGAGAACAGGCCGAAGGTACAATCCATCGTAATGCAGAAAAGCATGAGCATATCTTACACTGTGATGATCTGAATTTGTGCCTTCATGAAATCGGTCTCCTTATAGTTGCCTTTGCAGACTAAAGATATTGGCACACTTACTGTTGTAAACAAAATAAAGTTGAACAGATTCAAGACATTTTAGAAACTTGACTCGTTTTCAAGAAGGCAAGACACCTGAAGAAGGCTCCACGGCCGAAACGTTGTTTTCTCTCTTCTTTTTTTCAGCATGGAATAAACCTATGACTTGTTCCCCTGTAGGAGTTAAGCACGAAGAGGTTCTAAAATTTCTCCTGTAACAAATTACAAGTTTTGGAATGCATGAATAACATTAAAATAATATTGACGGATAGATTTGATGTGTGCATTTTACAGATAACTATTCTGATCGCCACTAAATGCCCTGCAGTGTTCTTAAGTGAACGACGTTTACAGAGCTAAAATACATCCAAAGAATGTATTTGACGCTTTTATTAGCAGACCATTCTTGCAATTAAAGGTACGATGAATTGGTTAGCACTGTAATGCGACTATAACAATTCAGTGTTAAAGTCTTGTGGGAAGACACGAATTTCCAAATTGGGTGTCTTTTGGCATCTAAAATAGAATACTAATGTCGTGGGTTTCATACAAGTTTAAAAGCATCATGAAGGATCGAACAAGATCTTCAGAACTTAATATTTTAATACCTTCGCAGTTTTTATTCTCATGGCGCCTCACTCGATATTACGTGCGTGCACGTTCTTATGGTACGTTATGCTCGTCCGCTGAATATTTAAAGGCAAGGTAAAAGCTCCGTGAAGTTGGCCCCCCTACAGACAGCTTTCATTCCCGAGATATAGAGCCTTGGGTTTCCGGTGATCACGTGACCATGCACGGTGACTTTGACCCCCAGTGATCCCGTCTGCCGAGTTCAAGCGCTTTGTGAGAGTTTAGCTCGTACCCTTAACATTTTAAAGATAATCAATTTCCATAAACATAGGAGCCTCCTTAGGTGTGAATAATACTAAGACATTACGCATGTCAACAAGTTAACCACCTATGACATAAACAGGTGGTTGTAAGGTCTGTAAAATCACCGTGATTGTATGATCTATGGTTTTTATTTCCTAAGGCGCGTTTTCCTTTTCTTTCCCTACCGTGACACGCAGTTGCCAAACGCGTAACTGTGAGATACCATCGCGACAAGACCTCCACAGCATGTCATGATAGGGACCCCATGTATATCGCATGTATATTGCGGCAGTGTATATCACAACTTGCTTCGATGCCACCCTGGCACCTCTGCCGCAAAAAAGGTCTCATATTAGGACATGATATACCCAGATAGGACGTGTGGCGATATTTGGAATTATTATCACGACATGAGGTCATCATATCCTGTCAGGGTATGCCCTATCGCAACATATGGACTCCATGTCGCGACATGGGGGCGGGGCATTTGGTCGGGTATGTCATATCGCGATATAGAGCCTTTCATGTCGCGACATGAGCGTGACTGATTTTGTCATATCGCGATATATAGGCTCCATGCCAATAACTACATCGGCTTATTTTTTAACGTCTTTATTGATTCACAATGTCCGTACTCTTCGAAATAAATACATTTTTAATTGGCAATATAATTGTTTCCTCTGCTTTCTGTAATGAATACATGGCATTTGAACAATTTTTAATCGTATATTTAAGGTAGGGGAAACACCTTCTGCTTTGTACTTCAAAAATGAATAGAAATGTCAAGTCTATTATCATTATATTATTATGCTCGTGCTTCCAATTTTGTTTTTACTGTAAAATTATATCGATCTTGAAATTAATACCTAAAGTGTGAATATGGGCTCTCGTGTTATACAAGCAATATATTTTCGAGAACATGGTTAAAAATGAAAAGAAAACACCTAACCCAATGAACTAACATAGTAACACCTTCTTAAATGTAAGACTGTTTATTCGTGTAAAGGCTGCAAAGTCTGGAATCAACTGATCAAAAGATCAGAACTGAAAGATCTGGTGGTCGTGACTTTGCTGTTTTGTACGTCACAGAGTGACGTCACAGCCAGGAAAAGACGACGCTATATGGAAATATATTGAAACATCCACCCCACCCGACCAGACAGACTCGGAAAACAAATTGCCCCCATTGTTTTCATCACAATCAGGAGTTCAAGTACCGAGTTTGTTGGTACCTGTAAACTTCCTTGTAGATAGTCACATGATTACCCGAGAAAACAAGGCGCTATATCATGGAAACGAAAGCAGCACAAACTCTACTTACAGCGACACAAACCGGCACAAACGCAGCACTAACGAATGAGGTGGGTTTCATCGTTTGTGCTGTCTGTAGGGGGACCAGCTTCACGGAGCTCAAGGAAAATCCTGCATGGTGTTTTAAATACAATATTTCGGACGGATTTGAATCTTGCGTTTTGCGTTGTGTTCATTATGTTTTGCAATAAAATATTAACTTCAGAGTAACTCGTAAAACTACTGAACAATCTAAAAGCAGTAATACGAAATACGACATTAGAACTGTTACACGCAACAAGTGAAAATGAGCTCTTGCAGCTTTTCTTCAGCTCAAGACAAAGTCCTCATATGAGAGACCTTTGCAAACTAGCTGTCATTTGAACAGGAATTTGCCGACTCTCTAGACAGTGACGAGATTATCGCCATATTCAATTCCAAGCCCCGACACCTGCGTCTGGTCTAGAAGGCCATAACCTCACAACAGAGGTAGGCACTGATTGTGTGTTCGCCGTGGCACAGTAGCGTTTGGCAGCCTAGGTAACTGTTGCTTAACCTATGTTTGTTAGAGAGCCACCACACATTCCAATAGCTCCAGGGTTAAATTACAGTTATCTGCAGTGACACCTTTGTCCCTCAAAAGCACGCATGTTCAGCGCCGTCAGTACAAACTAAACAAGAGCAGTCATTGTGCAGACTGTCCACAAGAGGGCGGCATCGCAGAAAATCTGTCATGGGTTGGGAATTCCGAATCTTTTCAGGGTTGAATTGAAAAAACCTAAAGGTTTTTTGAGCTGTTAAGAATACAAAGGGTTCTCAAACAGAAAGATCAGACTTGCTGCCTTTAAGAATCATCTCTTGTTCTGCACTGTGTCTGAAGTACACTCGTTTTACTTTAAATAATCAGTATTGGCCAGTCTTGGCATGTCCACTGAGGGGGGAGAGTGAAATCAGACAATGGCCCTTCACATCTAATTGCTCCAGTAGTTAGCAAAGTACCCCCAATGTCTTCATTCGTGCAGGTATCGCAAATGGGACTGGGGTACCTCAGACCTTGAAATGACTATAAACAGAGCATGCCTGAGGCAGTTATACTGCAAGAACTACACACCAGACGCAAGCAGGGTACGCAGTTACTGAACACAGACTGCAGTCCGTAGCAACTTTCATGGCACAGATGTGATTACCAGTTACACGACTATAATCTGTCATTCCTGGAAGCAGAGGCGGTCAGAGATGTTCCAATGCAGGGTGCGTTTGTCCGTTTTCACTTTCAGAGACCAGAGCCTGTACAGAGGTTCTCAATACAGTACCCATGCCTCCCAGGTGGAGCTTGGACGCCCGTGCTGGATGACCTCCTGCTCCCAGGAAGGGGTTGCTTGTCAGGGGAGGTGGCTGCTGTGACACCCAGCAGGGAGCCCCCAGGAGCAGCCCGACCTGCTGCTGGCACACTGTCTCTGGCCACATCACCCTGACGGGCAGCTGTGGACAAGTCTCCAGGAGCAGCCTGGCTAGCCGAAGACCGGGACAGAGACCCAGTGACCGTCCATTCACTTGATATCCTGATAGCCCCAGGCGCCACACTAGTATCGGCTCCATGATGCAGCTGGGCCTTTGTCAGGGCCCACGGGCATTCAGCCTGCTTCTGAGAGTGTGCTTGTGCTATACACTCTTATGAAGTCCAGTTACTGCAGCTGCGGAACACGTTCTTCTTTCGTTCTCACTTTCACTTTGCTTGGCTGTTTTAACGATAATGAATGAAATAAAAAAGGAATAAAACGACTTTGGAATTTTACTGTCGAAATTCGAGCTACACAGCCCTCGGGTGGCCAGAGGAGAATATTTATCACTTCTTTCTGATGTGTTCCCGGCGCAGAGACGCCCGCTGTCGGAGCCTGCAATCGCTCTGGCCACCTTGCACGGCGTGACGTGAGCGGGGCTGCCGCCCGGCCCAGCACGCACACAGCCGGCTCCTGCGCTGTGGCGGTGATGTAATGTTGTGTTCTCGGTGAGTACGGATGGCGGTGTGTGCCAGGCTTTGCGGAGTCGGACAGTCGCGGAGGTGCAGGAGGCGACAGCGAGAGGACCCGGCGGATCAGGACACCGACACCGACCCCGAGCTGGAGATGGACGAGGAGGAAGAGGAGCGGATAGTGGGGAAAATGCAGGCGGAGGCTGGTCCGCGCTGCCCGGGCGACGGAGCTGCTCGGGGGCCCGGGGTGACCAGCGATCCTGGTGCTGCAGCTGCTCCTGTCAGAGCTGCTGCAGGACCCACCCGGCTGAGCTGCCAGCCCCAGGCCTGCAAGGGGCCAGGCAGCCCGAACTCTTTACTAGACCTCCCTCCGGAGCTCCTGGTAGAAATCTTCGCCTCCCTGCCTGGGACAACACTGCCTAACCTGGCACTGGTGTGCAAGAAATTCCGGCACATCCTTAATACCGAGACAATCTGGAGGAGACGATGCACCGAGGGTAAATATCAATAATCTATAAAACAAAACGGGGTAAGAGGGGGGAAATATTAGTCATTTAAAAAGGTGGGTGCAGCGATATGAAGTTATTTGTGCTTTAGTAAAGGGGATCGGAATGTCATTTTACCATTAAAGGACTAGAGCCCGTAATTTCGGTTTCGGGAAGAGACAGATTTGCCCGGGAGAAGAGTAAAGGACTTGAGTTGATACCGTGTGTCGAATGCAGCTGTTTGAACACTCCCGACACTCAACCTACTTTGTTGTGCAACTAACAGGACCAGCCCTCGACTGCTGCTTCAGAAACTTTGATGTGGCATGAGATGGCAGAACTCATCGGTTCCGGATATGACCAGTCTGTAAGGCCGTTTACAAACAGCTGTGCAACCTGGAAAAGTCGTTTTTATACAGTACCGCACACTATCCGTCCATCCAGCATCTGAATTTCTTTTTCGCCCAGCCGCGATATAATTCACATCAGCTATAGCAACGTTTCGGTCTGTAGTGTCTTACAGTACGCTGATCAGTAATTGGACTTACGTTATCCTCACAGTTACAGCTTTGGTGCAGGACTGCTTGAGTCACCGATATTCGATCACTTTCCATCGATCTTATCTAACAAAATCGCTTTAATTTACTATTATGGACTGCACCTTCCGGTCGCTGGTAGTACTGTGCCTCAGATTGGTATATATACTTCAGCCTTCCTGGTAGAAGGAAGTTCACTTTGACAGCTAACCAGTGTCTCTGGCTCCGGCAGAGTGCCAGCTGCACAGTACGGGTTTTGTGTTAGAGCTTCGCTGGTTTTAGTGGCTTTGTTATTTCTTCCTTCGAGTTTGTCTGCCTGCCGTTGTGCTTTCTCGCTGGTGCCCCCTTGGAACCCAGTTTTCAAACTCCCACTTTCCTCTACCGTCCTCCGGCTCCCCCAGTCCTGCCCGTGTTAATCGCCTCCTTAACTCACACAGCCCTGGATTCTCCCGTATTTCAATACTGGATGATACACTACGTGCCTTGGGAACTGCTCATCATAATTATAGTTTTTACATAACTATTCTATTTTATTTTTTATTCCTTTTATAGTTTTTCCATTTCTATTTTGTATTCTTAATACCAAGATATGTTTTATTAAATGTGATTGAGACTTGTGTTCATAGAATATAGAGTCACCTGAAGAAGGCTCCACAGCCTAAACGTTTCCTTTTTTCTCTTTTCAGCATGGAATAAACGTCTACTTGTTCCTTTGCAGCCTGCGCATGCTGAAGCAGATACCTACTCGAACTACTTCATAGAGTATATGCTGTTATAATCCTTTGGTCATTTCTAACTTTATGGATCTGTGTAAAGAGCTTTATATTAACCGTAGAGTCTTTATTTATTGTAATTTTAGGTCACCTACACTTAGAAAAAAGTCTGCCATATGCACTACTACTTCTAGTGACTGCTCTGGGACAGAGTCCTAGTTAAAGTGATCAGAGTGGAGACCCTCACCAGCTAGAGTGAGCAGAAGAAGAGCCAGTAGTGGTTAATTCCATGCTGAATAGAAAGATTAAAAACAACAGTTTGGCTGGGGAGCCGTCTTCTGTGAGGCCGCGCTGCCCACGCTCCTGATGTGAGTACATCTCCGCCAGCCTTCCAAGATGGTCCGGAGACTCCCAGGAATCAGATTCCACCCGGAGGCTCAATAATGTGATCGGATATTTTCAGAGAAAACAGGCTGGCAGGAGAGATTAAGAAAGGTCTAGTGTGTGTGTGGAGCGGGGGTCTTCCACGTATTGGGTGCACAGTGACGGGGGGGAGGTCACAGGTATTTTGGAAATTTGTCAGCCTTTTATTTGATTTCTGTGTACTATAACTAAGGACATTTTTAGTAGGAAGTGAACTGAACATATATTTTGAGAAAAAGGCTCCAAAAGAAATTATATTCAGCTGCCACTTACTTTTTGAAAAACATTTTTTAATTGAATGATTAGAATGTAATTGCACCGTGCAGTAGAACACACGGATCAATACACGAAAAGGTTATGTAAATTGTGCAGTGTTTCTGCCTGGTAATGAGTACCGTCAGGCCCCTTATGGCTTCTACTTGGTCTTTGCAAGTGAAATGTCTGGCAGTGCTCTGTTGTTCTTCTGAATGTCTTGTCATTTAAGATGTTTGGAAAAGCAGCCTTAAATGGGCTGGTCATTTAGGTTCTCCATAACTTTGGATTTTGGGGTTGGTGGTGTTAAAATGCCTTCAAGCTGCGACACAGAAGAGGTCTTATATACTTATATACTTATATACTTATATACTTACTGTATATCAATAATGGTATACAGTAAGGACAGTATATCCCCTCACCAGTGCAGCCTATCAGGTGACTTCTTCTGTTTTTTCTATGGTGTTGCCCCATTTTGTGGTTTGTTTTTTGCCTTCATTGCTGTGTGCTGTTGCAATACTCTTTCCTGTTGTCATCTTCTTATTAATCCACTTTCAAGAGGGGGATACGTGTAAGGTAGCAATTAAGCTGATAAGATTGTGAATGCAATTCAGCGAAGAATTTATTTGTTCCCGAGACTAATGGGATCTTGCAGGGGGACGTTAACAGGGTTGCTGCCTTGCTAATAATAGAGACGATGGAAATGATGTCACATGCTTTCCAGAAAGGACAGCTGTATGTCATAATGAAGATTTATTGATCTGTGTTGCTTCATGTTTCACTTTGCCACCCCCGAGTGCAGGAACTGTTAGAGGTGGTTAGCCTTAGCTACCTCCAATACTCTCGGTACTCTCCTCTTTTTTATATTCCTTGGGTCACGTTTGGCACTTCCAGACATAAAGAGTGGGCGCCATCTGATGCTGACCCCGTAAGAGGAAGGTTTTCCAAGAGGCCGCTGGGACACAGTGTCAGGGTCTAACTTCCTTCTCCACCTCCTCCCCCCGCAGAGTTTGGGATGCTTGAAGATCTGCGGAAGGTCGAGGTGGTCGGGATGTCCAGCAGGGAGCTGTATGTGAAACGTGAGTAGTCAGCCACTCTCCCTCTCCGTCTCGCTCTTCCTACTCAAGGTGTAATTTCCACAGTTAACTGCTCCTGAACTGTCAGCGCACCAAAGAACAGGCTATTAATGAACATCCGCCCTCCACTCACCCCACTCCCAGCCCTTGGCAATAAAAACAGCGCATCCAGTGCTGAAACAATGCAAGACAGTCTGAGCGTTAAGGAGAGCGGAATAAGAGGAAGAGAGCGGACTGTTCTGCATGCTGTTGTGGTGCAGTTGTGATCCCTTCACCTGGGGCTTGTCCGAGCCCGTTACTCTTTTTCCCCCCCTTGTCACCAGCATTAAGGTAGACAAGAGAACAACTTTTCCTCCTACACCTCCTGTCCTCGCTCTGTGATACCATGCTGTCTGAAGGCTCCTCGGGATACTTCCCTGTGTCACTGTGCTGCTGTCTCCGCTCAGGTATTAACCCTCGAGTGAAGTCTGGGCGCTTTATGAAGCTCCTGCCAGACTACGAACATATGGATTACCGGGACATATATATCCACTGTATGTAACTCCGCCATGTGTGTGATCACTGCTGGAGGGGGAAGGATAACGCATGGAGCACTACTAACAGGAATTTGTGCTCAACCCCAGCTTAAGTTCTTATGTCACCCTAACTGCCCTGCAGATCGGCTCCTGCTTTACCCGAAGATTCCTCATGTTCTAAACCTCCCGTCCCCTCCCAAAAATAGCCTTCCCTTTCTCAAACACACTCTAGGTCTCCTATTGATATGCAGAACTTAGTGCTGGAGCAGACGGTTTGCAGTTTGTTCCAAATGAGTTGGCTGTTTGATAATTAGAGAGGTCACAATAAAGAGGAACCTGTACAGCATCAACAGTTGGGTTAAAAGCACCTCTTACCTCCGCAGACTGCATGTGGCATGTGCACTCTCTGTTAAATCAACAGGCTCTAAAGGTTGCTGTTCCCATACTTTGGAAAAGTCTCAGATGTTTGTGTTGTGCATGAGACTCTGGACATATCTTCTGTGGACTAGTAAGGAGTTGCTGACATTATATTTATTTTTGTTTACTTAAACTCGGTCCTTTTCCCCACAGTTGCCTGACTTTGGTCACTTAAGCATCTGCAATGATTTCTTTTGGAAAAAAAAATCCTTTAAATGAAATGATAAACAAAAATTGTAACCGTGTCTGGAAGGGGGCTGGAGGCAGAGTTTTCACAGTGCTAGTTTCACATGTTCGAATGAAATTGAAAATGGGGAGCTTATTGTTCCACTGGAGCTGAGCAAGGTTTTAAACCTCCTGAGGAATCTGAGATACTCATGTCTCAGGGAAGCCTTCCTATCAGTTTCTTTTGTGGCATTTATGAAGTCTAATTAGACATGTGCTAATGGCCTAGAGAACGTGGTATCCAGCAGGTGAGCATCTGTTCTGCCCTTGAGTGCAATAATTCTTACTAATGCTATTCCAGAGCCAGAAGTCTAGATATGGAGCAGCTCTCTGTTTCTACCCTCATTAGGAAACTGAGAAGCTATCTATCCTTTGCCAGTGCCTTGAGTTAGACCCCCCACAAGGGGGAAGAAGGCAGCACATCTCGTGTAAGGGATATACAGTCAGTTCTGCACCCCCTGATACTCTATTAATACAGAGCTGTCCTTCAAGAGAGCTCGGTTTCCTGAGGCTCCCAGATCCTGTCAAGCAGCTTCAGCCACAGCCTTTGAGAAGAACTCTTAAGTGCTGTACCTTTGACTGCTATTTGTGTTCATTAACACAGGAGCTCTAAATAAGAACTCTTTACTCCTGTGGAATTCCACACATTTTTCTGTGGTGTTTAATGAGGCTCCTGCTTCTCGTTTAGGCCACACTGCCAGGTTTTTTTCATTAAATCCTAAGATAATGAATCATGAAAGTGGAATTTCCCTTTGAAAATCAATTTTGAAATGCAGGTAGTACTCTGCACTGTGCAGTTGAAACATGATGCAGTTTTTGTATATGTGAAACTTGGATATTTATACAATTCTTAACTATAATAATAATAATAATTCTTACTAATAATTCTTACAATTATTATTATTATTATTATTATTATTATTATTATTAATTCTTAACTAAATCTAAAACTGCACTTCCAGAATGAAAGCAATAGAAATAAACCTCATTGTGAAGTCAGGATTTGTCAGTACTTACAATTTGCCAAATTTACAGTTGCCAATAGAAGAACTTTATATTTTTCTACATGGTTCTACATGGTCTTATGTCATTGGACATTAAGTCTTTATTTTTACATGATCCTTTTCAACCAGTTTATAAAGCTTTCAGGAAAACTGCTTGTTTTTTCCATCTGTTTTTTCCACTTGCCTGACTGATATGTTATTGAATTCAATAACATATCAGTCAGGCAAGTGGATCACAACTGTTTTATTTTTATATAAATGTATAAATGTTAGTGAATTCAATAACATATCAGTCAGGCAAGTGGATCCTAACTGTTTTATTTTTATATAAATGTAAACTAATAAAGTTCATTGTATATTATGTTATTTTTTTATTTTGAGGGCTTAAATGCAATTATAAAAAAATAAAAGATAATATAAAAATCAAGCATTTCATTTTAAAATAAAAATGTTATGTGGTGCTGGCTTTTTAAACCAAAATTTGAATTTAAAAAAGATTTAATGCTCAGATAATCTACTGTTTTCTTTCTGCTTTGTAAACTGATTGTTTAGTATTTTGTATTCTGCTTTTCTAAGCAGAGTGTTCCTGGACCAGCATCTTGGAATCCAGAATGTTCACTGAGACCATTTTTGCTCATTCATTGTTTTTTTAAAAACTCTGTAGTGGCCCAAGTCTCACAGTATTATTGATGTTTTCATTAGCGCACCATGCTGTGCACCTCGAAAACACTTGCCCACTCTGACAGCATGCCTTCATTAAACCGGTCCTCGTGGTGACAAAGAGCACATTGTGGAACCAGTGTCTCGATCTGTGTGGCTCAGAAACATCCACAAAAATAGTCGCTTTGGAACTAGGTACAGAAAGCAGATTGGAAAAAAATGTCTATTAAATATCATTTTTAAGATAAATTAAAAAGATCTCATGCATGTGAGTCTATGGGGGCCAAAGAAAATCCCACTGGCCGTCACGTGTTACCCCTGTGGCTGGGTTCAGCCATTAATTTCTCAATGTATTAAAAACAAGACCTTAAAATCTACCAGAAATGTACCAATAAATTCGTGGAGCAGCAGCTTTATTTGTGGGGCAGTTTACTTCTTTTTTTGTTGCAGTGCTGTACAACCACTGTTTCAAAATGCAGACTCCTTCTTTTCAACCAGTCGATAAATCAATCAAGGTTTATTTATCGATGCACGAACAGTACAGCATACAGCGGTGTCGTCGGCCTAATAACTGCCTAATCTTTTGATCCACGGACCTACAGTGCAGAATCAGCAGGAAAAGGATCCCTTCTCACATACAGGGAAGCAACTTTATGTTAATTAAAAAGCATCTAGCTGGTACCAGGTGGCTCAGTCACTGCAGGCACTGTTTTAGGGTTCAAGATGAGCCCTGTAGTCCAGCTTCTCCAGATTTCACCAGGGCCAGGTCAGTTGCCACCTGTGACCCCATTTGAATGTGCAGCCCGTTGCTTCCTTGTGGCTGTTTGTGTTTTGTCATCTCTTGCCTGGCTGTAATATACTGGCTAGTGTGTTTTAAACCAAATGGTGCAAAGCTGCATTTCACTGGTGTAAGTGCTTTAACAAGCTGCAAAGGACATGCTGTACCTGCAGTGTCAGGCCTGCATCTCACTGCCTGGTTGTGATGCTAATTAAAGTTCCAAATAATCAGTATTCCTCTGTGTTACAGAAATAATGGGCAACATGGGTGATCTAGCTTGGATTAAAAAATCCTCAAAAATCCATTCTCCTGTGGCACCATCTGCAAACTCTCGAATTATTAGTAGAAACGTTCATTCAAAGTTAATTCAGAAACCACAAAAGTCTTTTTTGCGAATTGCGTTCTGCTGTGTTCAGCTGATTTGTTCAATGGGTTCTGTCTGTTACTTGCCCTTGTGCAGTGCTGCACCCGTACCGACACATCCTGGGCCTGTGGCAGCCAGACATCGGGCCCTACGGCGGACTGCTCAATGTCGTGGTAGGTGTATGAGTTGTGTTGGTGATTATGGACGTCTGTGATTCATCTCCATAAGCTTTGACTCCACCGGCTTCAACAACAAAAGCCCAGAGTCTGCAGTATGTGGAGTGGTTTCCATTATATGAGAAATGGTCAGTCAGGTTGCCCCCAGTTTCTAAATCACATACATTAAGGTTTGCTTTTGGAGATATACTGCCCTTACTCAGTGGACTTTGAAACTGGAATTCCTGTCTGAATAGGATTTGCACCTTTGCAGTGTGCCATTCAGACGAGCCACTGAAAGTTTTATCATTTACTTTGTTCGCTCTGACATTATCTAATTTTACAGCAAGTCTCTTTTGCTGTCTTATTCTTCCAACTCGCAGCCCTAGGTAAAATTTGAAGCTAGGCTGCAATCTCTTGATGGAATTGTGTTTGTTACCTCAAACTTTGATCTCTACGGTTTCTTCTCACGTGAGACCTCTATACCAGGGGCCACAGAGCCTGGTTTAAAAATAAATGGTTTAAACCCAACGGCAGTATCACGTTATATAGGCCTTGATGGGTGTGTTTTCCACGCTGGTATGTCTGTTAGCGTGTTCCCATCTGTCTCTACGGTCCAGGTGGACGGGCTGTTCATCATCGGCTGGATGTACCTGCCCCCCCATGACCCCCGCGTGGATGACCCCATGCGCCGCCGGCCCCTGTTCCGTATTCACATGTGGGAGAACAACAAGGCCACAGTGGAGTGCATGTATGGCCACAAGGGGCCCCACAAGGGAGACATCCAGGTCAGTGTCGGTCGGCAGCCTTCCGCAGCGGGGCAGGTGACACCACGATATGGCTGCTCTAAGAAACTAAAGGTTCGGCTTCAGCTCACTGAAATATGACTGCCAGTAGTTTGTGTACTGAGGATGTCCGAGCCCATCCGAAATTGTTGACCTCTTGCTGCAACGCCCCCAAAGACAAGCCACACCCCCTTTATGAAGCCCAACACAAGGTATCGAAAGTAGTAATAATAATATTCCTCACACTTAAAACGCGCTTTTCTGGAAACTCCACTCAAAGGGCTTTACAGGTACTGGGGACTCCCCTGCACCACCAAAATGTGTAGCCCCCACCTGGATAATGCGAAGGCATCCATAGGGCGCCGGTACGCTCCCCACACGTCAGCTATCAGTGGGGAAGAGAACGGAGTGATGAAGCCAGTTCATAGATCAGGATTACTAGGAGGCCATGATTGGTAAAGGCCAGGGGGAAATTTGACCAGACACCAGGGTAACACCCTGGGATTTTTTAATAACCACGGAGAACAGGATCTCTGTTTTACGTCTCACCTGAAGGACAGAGCCTTTTTTGAATCGCGTCCCCATCACTATACTGGGGCACACAGACTGCAGGATGACTGACTGCGCCCCCTACTTGTCCCACTAACACTACTTTCACTTTCTCTAGAAACTGGTAACACTGGTGTTTTTTTTTCTTTTCAGACAGTAAAGAAAGACGAGTTTTCCACCAAATGCAACCAGACAGATCACCATCGGATGTCCGGAGGAAGGCAAGAGGTGATATTAAAGGATATTAAAGAGTTTCTCCATATTACATCAGCGATGTGATAAACACATCTGCATATTTTTGTGTTTAAAAGAGCATTTAAAAAATACTCTCCCTTTTATTTTAAAAAGAAGGGCATTGTGCTGTTCACATTACATTGAAATAACGATCTAGCTAATTTACAACCCTGTGTGACCCACTATGTATGCTAACTTGTTTCGATAATTTTGCTACGTCTCCTTAAGGAACTTTTTTGACTTCACAGGGTTTGTTCCTGTGCATCACACTCTTACTCTTTGCATGACATCACACTCTTACTCTTTGCATGACATCACATTCTTACTCTTTGGATGACATCACACTCTTATTCTTTGCATGACATCACACTTTTACTCATCACCACATTTTAAGTCTCTGATCATCAAAATTTTCTGGAAGACTTCTAAAGCACTCTTTCATTTAACTCTGTCAGAAAGGTTCCTTTAAAATCCAAAAGCTGTGTTGCCTTATATTATCCATATCTTCAATAGAAATTTTAAAAATCCATCTCTTGGTATTAATGGAAGCTAGTTTGCCAATATGGAAAACCCTTTATCTTTGCAGGACAAATTTGACATCTACCCAATAGAGCATTCTCAAATGTGTTGAGATTGTATTAGAGTCTTGGCATGGGATCCCATTTGGCATTAAAAATCAGATCTCCAGAACTAGGCTAACATACTGCTTAAGGCTTAATCCAGTACATTTGACATATGGGAGTAATTCTTGAGAAAACTAGCAAAATAAATCTTCTGTAATGTGATATTTAAAACTAATTTATTTTGTTTATTTGATTACATTAGAAAAATGTAGATAAAATATAGAAAAAGTATTGTTGTGGACCGATGGAGCTTTGAAGCATGATTTAAAGGAAAAAAACAAAGACATCAAAGAGTGCATCAAACAAGGAATTCTTTCATTCTCTTTATTAAGAAATTCTTTCATCGTTTAGTAACTTGCTTAGATTTGCGTTTATTCTTTCATCATTTGGTCAATACAGCATGCATTTTAAAACGTGTCTGGGGATTATGCACTTTGTAAAGAATGACATAAACAGCATGGCAGGAGTTCTCATTTCAGTGATATGAAGAATTTTGAGCCAACATCCAGTTCTGAAATACTTTTGGGATGTCAGGCTTTCTGTTCCCCCTGGATATTTTAGTCTTTTAGACAGCTGAGGGCATGAGTAACATCAGCTTTGTTATTTACTTTCAGTGTCTGCATACTCTCAGGAACTGTGTTTTGTAATCCTTTCCATTTTTGTGTTCTGTTTCACATGCTCATGAAAATAACAAGTTGAGGTTAATTCACACTTTGCACCTTCTAACCTGAGGGAGAACCAGCTGCCCAGATGTGGTTCCTTTTACTTTTCCGAGTAGTCTTTGCGGTCAAAGCAAAGTGATCCATCCTCGCTGTTCACACCTCCCTCTATACAGTATATCAAAGCACTTTATGAAAGAAGAGTAATAGAGATCAGCAAAGATCCGGGATATTATTTCAGTTCAAAGGAGTAGAACCATCTGGAACCATCGTAAAAAGACCCAGCTGAAAACAGCCGCTGTCTGGATGAGTTGGTGCCTCTCTGTGCGAGGTGACAGCTGGGTCTCGTGTTTGTCTGCAGGAGTTCCGCACGTGGCTGGAGGAGGAGTGGGGTCGCACCCTGGAGGACATCTTCCACGAACACATGCAGGAGCTTATTCTCATGAAATTCATCTACACCAGCCAGTACGAGTAAGTCTGGAGAGGTGGGGGCTGCATGGGTAGAGGACAGTTTTCTGGGCACCCTACTCAAAGCGTTTTACAGGTAATGGGGATCCCCTCCGCCACTAATGTGTAGCCCCACCTGGATGGTGCATCTGCAGCCAGACTGCGCCAGTATGCTCACCACACACCAGGTCTCAGTGGGGAGGATAACAGAGTGATGAAGCCAGTTCATAGATGGGGATTATTAGGAGGCCATGATAGGGAAAGGTCCAGGGAGAAATTTGATCAGGACACCAGGGTAACACCCATAATCTAGCAGTGATTACCCATTATAGATACAAGCAAAGAAAGTTTTGATTCATCAGGAGTCCAAACGCTCTTGGTCAGAGAAAATAAATGACGATTATAATTTGCCGGAATACAATCTCTCAGCCATACCACCCTGCACCTCTCCACTGGCTACCCACTGAAGCTAAGCAGGGTTGAGCCTGGCTAGTACCTGGATGGGAGACCTCCTGGGAAGCTGTGATTGCAGCTGGAAGAGGTGTTAGTGGGACCAGCGGGGCGCGCCCACCCTGCGGTCTGTGTGGGTCCTAGTACCCTGGTATAGTGGCGGGGATGTGATCGTCGTGGTTCCGCGCGGGGTCGTGCCCCCCGCCACCCGCTCCATCCCCACACCTGGAGCGCGAACCCGGGTCTCCGGCGTAACACAACAGGGCACCAACCGCATGAGCTAAAGGAGACCTCCCCCAGCCCAGGCAGCTGAGGTCCCTGCTACGCGCAATGAGGGTGCTGACATCATCACTGACATCATCACATCATCACTGCACTAGCTCCGCTACAGGGAAACTATACTGTAGTGGGCGCCATCTTTCGGATGAGATGTTAAACCGAGGTCCTGACCCTTTCATTTTCATTAAAGATTCCCAGGCATTTCTCTGTAAGAGTAGGGAGTAATCACGGTGTCCGGGCCAAATTTCCCCCTCGGTCTTTACCGTGGCCACCAAAGTGTCCCCATGTATGATTGGCCTGCACTTGCCCTGCGATGGACTGGCGTCCTGTCCAGGGTGTACCCTGCCTTGCGCTCGTTGCTTGCCGGGTAGGCTCCGGCTTCCCACGACACCACACGGTACAAAGCGGTTTGTGCAAATGACGAGACATGACTACCTGACTATCCTTGCCTTTCAGTAACTGCCTGACGTACAGGCGCATCTACCTCCCCCCGCCTCAGCCCAGCGACCTGCTGAGACCGGGCCTGTTCAAGGGCACGTACGGCAGCCACGGGCTGGAGATCGTCATGCTGAGCTTCCACAGCAACAGCGCCAAAGGCACCAAGCTCACCGTGAGTAGCAGCCGCCGTCCCAGGAGAGAACTGGGGGGAATCCTGACACGGAGACGGTGCCCCTCAGCGCCCCCTTGTGGTAAAGAAGAGCAGTCTTGGTGGTGCCTAGGCTGCCCAGGCAGAAGAGCAGTGGGATCTACGAGGGGTGTTGCGGGGTGTTGCCCTTTGAGATTTACAGGTCTTTTCAAGCCCCCGGTCTGATCAACACATCAGTTCTGAGGAGAGCAGAGCACTAGCACAACAAACTGTGTTTTTATATCGTATATAACATATATACACCTGTTAATATACACTCATTCCTCGTTAAACCAGCAGTTTACTTACGAATACTTGCTAAAAGAGTGATACTTATACAGTACCTGTTTTTGTTGGACGAGTGAGCTTGCACTGCTACTATGATCAGGTGGGGAGCTGCGTCAGCATGCGTCAGCTGCAAAGGAACAAGTAATAGGTTTATTCCATGCTGAAAAGAGAAGAAAGAAAACACATTGTTTCGGCCGTGGAGCCTTCTTCAGGTGTGAGAGAGACAGGGCGGTAAGCAAAGTTAATGTAGCGGGAGAACTAAAGCTGGGATAGAGGAGGAGCGAGAGGCGGGAGCAGGGGACAGAAAGAGAGGCCAATCAAGAGGTATGAAGTCAGGATAGGTGAAGAGAGATGTGAAATGAAACCTACAATGAATAGAGAGAATTAGAAGAAAAGTAGTCTGTCGTTAAGAGAAGGGGGAAGGTGTGATCCTAGGTGCAGGATAATTTGGGTTTCGGTGGTCTTTCTGATGTATGAGTTCGGAAAACCGTCTTTGAGAACACAGACGGAGAGATTAGAGTGGTCGTGGCCGTCAGAGGTGAAATGAGAAACAATGGGCTTGAAGAGATCTTTAATCTTCACAGCCCTGACATGTTCTCTGAAGCGGTCTCCGAGTCTCCTTCCTGTTTCTCCAGTGTAGATGGCTGGGCAATTACTGCAAGAGATACAGTAAATAAGGTTGCTGGAGGTACAAGATGCCACCTGGGTGATCTGGAATTGTCCTGAGGGGCCTTGAACGAGTGTGCTGTTAGATGTGTACTTGCAGGTGATACAGTACTGTTACCTCTGGCTGGGTCTGCCTTTGCACAGCGGGATAGATGTAAAATAGTCTGCGTAGCTCGAAAACAGGAGTAATTCCTGAGTGTCCCCCCCTAGGGAGACCCCAACGTGCCCGCCGGCCAGCTGACCCTCGACATCGACCTGTCGCGCCCCATCCAGCTGCCGGACCTGGAGAAGCAGCGCAGCGTGGAGGAGCTGTCCCGGCTGGTGATGGGCGAGCACGAGCAGGTGCAGCGAGAGCGCGCCCAGGGCGAGGAGCGGGGCCCGCAGGCGGGGAGGGGCCGGCGGGAGCAGGGGGCCGAGGGAGGGGCAGGAGGAGGCGACCCCGGGGACGAGCCGCCACCCGCCGAGGGCGGGGCCGTGCCACAGGTCCCGTCGGGCCGGGGGTCCGAACCCCAGCCCTTCGTGTTGCCGCTGGGGGTCATGGCCCGCACCGAAGTGTACCCCCGCACCTGCCGAATGTGGTGAGCAGCGCCTGCCCCCGGCCTCGTTTCGCTCATTTAGAGGACATTTCAACTGAACGATTAAGCCCTGATTGGCCAGAATTTTCTGAATTAACCAGGATTTTCTTAATTGATTGAAGAATGTTCCCAGTCTTTAGGAAAAGGTGAATAGGGCTGTATATCTGCGAGACTGATTGTTGTCCCGAGGTTGTCCTGTGGTTGTCCATACCATGTCCTCCTTCTGACACCTTAGTTCTTCTGTGCATGCTAAGCACTGGCAGTACGAAAAAGAGGCAGATAGGCTGACAGTGCACATTCCTGCAGACACATGTACATTCTTTGGGTCTGTGTTTCTGCACTGCAATGTAGACGTAAACTCGAATTGGAGATTTCAGATGGAGGTGATCTAAAAGCATGGCTATTGTAAATAAACATACGTCCCCTGGACATCTTTTTACCTGAGGGATATTGCAGTGGAAACTCCTGCCTGTAGGGGAAACGTTGAAAGTTTACCAGGTGTATCATGCTTGCATCGATCACATGAGCTGCAGTGAGCCTCGCTCTGCAAGCTGCCCCCTGCGCAGAGTGCCGAGTGACTGACAGTGCCGATCTCCGGGCTGTGTTGCAGTTTCTACGGGACGGGCTTGATCGCTGGCCACGGCTTCACCAGCCCCGAGCGCACGCCCGGGATGTTCGTGCTGTTTGACGACGACCGATTCGGGTTCATCTGGCTGGAGCTGAAGTCCTTCAGCCTCTACAGCCGCATCACAGACAGGCTGCCCTACGCCCAGGCGCCCTCCCTCAAGGCCTTCGAGGAGATGCTGAAGAACATGCAGTCCTGGACATCCTGACAGCCTGCTCTCCGCACAGGGGCAACGGCCCGGGGAAAGAGCTGACGATTAGGATGAGAGTTAAGACGAGTCATCTGAGCCTCTCCCGGGAAAGCATGCACTTCGACACAAAGGCAAATACGGCTTTTTAAAATGTTTTATTGATGAAGGAAAAACTCATTTAAATTGATATCCCACCTGCTATGGCTACAGCACCGCAGGTTTTTTGAGCTTCTGATTTGCAAACGATGTTAATTATTAAAAGCTTATTTCGAGTGGAAGGAAAGGGTTATATAGTATTAAGCCCAAGGTAAAAGAGGAGTAGCCCTTTCCTTTCATTCTTTAAATTATAATAAGCTTGATCTCACTTAGCAATCTTGGAGGTTTATAGGTTATTTTCCAATAAGAAAAGAGTTTGTGTGTGAGGGCTAGACTGATTTTCACACATCTGGTATTCCAGGAATGTATTACTATATTCCTCTGAGCAGTGAATGAATTTATCATTTGAGAACCTTTTGGCCAAGATAAAAGCTTGTAGTCGGCTTCTTTCTTAATTTACAAAAAACAGTATTACAGAATGATCAGTAAAAAACATATCAAATTAGTCAAGCCCTAATAAGTTGTTGTTTGTTTTGTGAATTGTACAGGTTCATTCTTTTTGATTGCTTTTGGCTGAAGGATATGATTTATTTTATCCGTTTGGTAAGTGTCTGAAATAGATTCTGTGGCTTCAACCAAAACGATAGCAAAAATACAGGTGTTGGCTGTCAAAAACCTCAGTAAAAACATTTTGCAGGCTTCTCATTGTTGTGCATCACAGGGTATTTCAGTATTGTAAACTGAGGCTGTTCTGCAACAGCTAAAATAACACTAAATGGTGAGAAGCTGTCTCTGCCCGTTTATCATGACTGTAGGAAATACAACATTCAATAAATACACCACCATCAAATCACACTAAATCACTTGTCATTATGTCAAAAGCCACTTTCTTTATTTTTCTTATTTAATTAGAATACTTGTGTTTATTTCTAAAATCAGAAGGTTGTGCTGTTATTTTTTTAATGCAGTTTTTTTTCTCCAGGGTGCAATTTGGTTTTATTAGTTCTAAGCAAGATTGGCGTATGATTTTCTATTTAACACAAGCCCGTACTGTTGATTTATTTTCTGACGTTTCGAAAAGAAGTGAAGATATAATGTATAAAAAAACAAAATTGTAATATATATTAAAGGATCCTTATTTAATATATGAATTTATTAATTGTAATAGGCGGGTTTCTTTTTAGAGTATATGTTTCTTGCCTTTTTATGTATTATAATCAGGACAAATTTACCTTCTGCGAAACCTCTCACTGAACGTTTGTTGCTTGAATAAGCTGATTGTTGCACTTAAAATGTTTTTCTGTAATTAATTGCGAAGCTCAGTGTTTTTTCTTTTTCTGTTCTTCTTAATTTGTTGTGAAATTTAACTTTTGGGTTCTGTTTTTTCTTTCCTCAGTTTGTATTTTTCAAGTATCACAGCAGGTTTTCACTAGGACATCAGGGAGCATTGAGTTTGCTTTATTGGTTCTCAATAAATAATGGATTAAAAGGTTCATTGTCTTCTTATAAGATGAATTGTCTTTCCGTGCCAGAGTTATCAAAGTAATAAAGGTGTTTTATATTCTATAGCTGAAGATCACTGTCCTGGATAGTTTAGGAGGAAACAGGTTAACAATAAATCCCATGAAAAGTCATATGGCTTTTACTCATATCCACCAGAGAGTGGCGTTGTGACAATCAGAGAAATGCATTCCTTGCATTCTCATGAGCAAATCAGTGAATTGGCTGCACCTGAGGTAGCCAGATCCCTATATAACCATTGTCTGAAGAGGTGGTCAAACTCTGCTGAGATCCTCATGGTCACTTGGGGATGCAGTTGTTTAGGAGTGTTCCATTAGAAAATGAAACACTTAATTAGAATATACACAAGGTTGCAACCTGTCTCTTGTATAGCAGCCTTGGTCACTTTCTGTGTCAAAAGAAGTAAAAAGCAAGGTTGTAAATGAATGTACCTGCCCCAAAAGGAAATCAACCGGGTCAGGGGTTTTGTAGTGCCAAGGGCTAGAGATAATATTTGAACATGCAGTTATTAGGATCATAAGGACAGGTAGCAAGCATAACATGGGGATGGCTCCCTGGGCTGTTTATGTTCCCCTGCTTAGGGTTGGTTTTCATGTGCTGGTCCCCTTGCTATGGGATCTGACACAGCAGCTAATTGACTTGCAGTGCTCAGACTCCTGGAATTCAAAGTTCTAGGATCTGCAAAACCCACTTGAGGCTACTGAAATTGATTGCAGCATCTCTATTGTCTATTATAACCTGTTGGAAGTCCTTGCCAGTGAAATCTGACTGTTTGAACAAAGTGGCATTTTCAGTACTTTCAGCATTTAGATCAACAAATGCCAAAAACCATCTGTGAAAATATCTGTTCACAGAGAACCTCATTCTTTGTCCCTCATGTAGCAGGTTAACAACTGAACATTCAGAGCCTTGTTAAGACTTGTCACCCTGAGCCTTATATTGGAGACCTCAGAAAGAGAAAGTAAGGCCAAGGATCACAGTAAAGGGCAAGACATGCATAATAATGTATTCATTTGAGATATTAATTTTTGTCAATCAAAATATAAATAGGGCTATTCTTGACGTTTAAAAAAGTATCAATGGCAGGCAAATCTGTAAAAACAAGTGCGTGAGTTAACTCCTGGCACACCTCTTCTTAAAGGTTGCTGACCCCTGTTGTAGAGGGACATAGTTGGTGTCAAACCCACTATGCACAGATCACAAGGTAGAACTTTATGGCATATGAATGTTTCATACAGGAACCAGCTTTCATAGAATGGCCCTGTATCTCAAGAGACTTGCATTCTTAGAGACTAAACAGAAACATGTGCTCACCATAAAGCAGAAAAGTGACTGCACTCCTCATTGGCTCGAAGCACATTGTACAGTTCTCCACCCACACAGACAGCTGGCAGAACATCACTCCTCTTATTCTCTTGATTTGGGCTTAACTGCCTTAAGCCTGCAGTTTTCTGGTGTTATAAAAATCCTGCTACAATGACAAAGGTTACAGCACTAAACAAAACCCAAGGTAGATAACTCTAAAAAACAGCCAGAACCAGAGTTATGTAGTGTCTTATTTCACATGGTAGGTTAATTTCTCATGGAAGAAGGATGTGATTCCTCTTAATTAAACAAGGTTACTAGAACACGTATCAAGGAAATGGAAGGAGAAACAAAATGAACATTACAGGTGCTGTTCTGAGTACACCAATAACTAGTTCAATTTGTACAAAGTTCAGACAATTTCAATTCAGGAAAGAAATTCGATCATACAGGATTGTACGATTTACATTTTCCCCGTGTAAAGACCATATCTTTTTGAAACGAAAACAGTGGTACAGTAGGTCAACAGTCAGTGGGGTTTGAACCGATTAAAATAAATCCCAAATGATGTTGCAAAGTTCATTGCTGTGACAAACATTCAGCAGCACCTTGCAAATTACTTTCCAAAGTACATAACAGCTGTTAACAGCAAAGAAGCCTTTAAAAATGTTTAATAATGTACAAACGAAACATACTGTACCTTACTTCCCTTAATATCCATGCTGTTTAACACTGCATTAATGCTCCCTTTTGTATTCTGGGTTACAAGGGACTTACACATTATACATTGAATTTCAGATAGTTAATATTTGATTATTACACAGTGATCCCACCTCTCCTTTACTCTAAGTACACATTGCACTTGTACAGTACATGCTACGTTTGCAGCTAATATGTGAAAAAATGCAGGTTTCTGTGAAGTGAATGGTCAGGTATAGTCTTGTTTTTCATCACTGTGGAAAAGTTGTATATTGTTTTTGAGATTTGCTGATAATGTCACCGTATCCTTGTGACACAGACTCCCCTTTAAGTTTTGCAGGTTTCTTGTGTGTGTTTTTCTGCTGCCCACTTCAATATCAGTTTCCCTGTTATTTCTATGGATATACTGTATACATTATATATATATGTAATAACTGACTCCTCAGAGGTATGAGCGCATGTTACTTTCCAGACCTCCAAAACTGGGAATCCCTTATTTTAAATCAGCTCCACACCCTGCTGAGACCACCTAACCAACACAGAAAGCTTCAAATGAGATATCAGAGCCATCTCCTTTCTGCCAAAACTTTGAGCCCCACAAGGGGCTGTGTGCTTTTACTTGTTTACCAGAAATGATGTTACAAAGTGCAGCTGGTCAAATAGAGGCAATGAGAGTCTGTGAAACCACTCTACATTAAAGGCATAACATAAGACGTTCCTGTCATGAAAACGGGGATTGTGCCATAGCAGGGAACTCTTTAGGTCATGTGCTTTGAGGTAACCACAGATCCTCCTCGTTGTCCACAAAGTCTTGCCTTCCCAGCTGTGCAAGTCAATGGCAGCGCCACTACCTCTTCCGACACTGAAGTAGTATGAGCGTCGCGAGAAGACAGCAAAGCAATGCCAGTACGGTCACTGTGATCACCAGTACTGTGTTGCAGTCTTAGGGAAAAAAAAAACAATAGTTATTATTATGTTTCTCCAATGTTTTGCTCGTTTAAGGAAATAGAAATAGGCTCAATACCTTTCTCTATACGTTTGTGTTTAGTGATGTGGTATTTCATTAATTGGTTTGCCCTAGCAGGCTTGTGCTGTCACATACTAAAATTTGCTGCCATCATAACTTGTCATTAAAGTTTGCTGTGAATAAGACCAATACTTATCAGGAGGGGCAGTGTGTCCTTAACACAGTATTTAATGGTGTTAAACACTATTTAGAACACCCAACTTAAATCCAGAGTAGATTTCTTCATCTGAATCATGCTTTGCCTTTACCTCTGCTTTTCTGATTCCTGGAAAGTTGGCACTCCTCTTCCCAGTTCTCTGGGATGACTGACTGGGTGATCCTCTTAAAATCCTCAAGGGGACAGTACTGGGAGCAGTTTGAGAGTTTCAAAGGATAGGGGTCCCTCCCGCTCTCATTTCGAAAGAACATCGCCACAGTCCGTGTGCTGGAAACACGGTCAAGGGACAAGATCACTTCTCTGAAGGCTAACTCAGGCTCAATTTAAAACAAAATTGAAAATGACTTTAAAGAAGATAATTAATTTTCCAAAACGTGGTGCTAGATTTCTTTAAAAGAAATGGATGGAAAAGCCAGATTACAGAACATTACGAAGGTTACAGAGGAAAGGAAGGCATTTAACCTGTCCCGCTCATATGAAGCTAGCCAATGAATAAAAGCCTGTACTGACTAGAGACAGATCTTTCAAAAGCAATACAAAAATGAAAGCCACTGCATACATATAGACGAAAATTATTATTGGAATATGAGCTGGGTAGCTTACCCGTTTTTGCCTTCTTGGTACAATTAAAAAATGTGACAGGAAGCATAAGGGGGTTGTTTTTTGTTAAAAACATCCAAAGCTGACTGCAAGGCTGCGATGGTGGTGTCATGCTGGGAAAGAAGACGCGTTACTTGACGTAAATTCCTAACATTCTGTATTTAAAATCCACTCGGCTCTTTAGGGTGGTAAGTGCTACTTCACCCCTCACGCAATGATTAATACTGGGAATCAGCATCTCTAGAGTTAGGGATCTGACGTCAGAATTAAGTGAACAGGCTGTTGATCAGCAACATGAGGGCTGCTCCTTAGAGCAGGCTGTGCCTTTCATTGTGGAAATGAAACGACAGATTACAGATTAATGCACAGTTAATACACTGCATGGAAATCAGCAAGTTGGCACAGTGACTACCATTGTGCCTCACCACTCCTGGGTTTGATGCCAGGTTGTAATTTGGTTCCAGTGTTCTTATTGGTTTTTTTTTGGTTTTTCTGGATGATCTTGTTTCCTTCCGAAGACATCCTGCCTAGATTATCTGGCATCTCCCAGCTGGGTGTGCATATCCTGCAATGAACATGCTTCTCGTCCAGAGTGTAGCCCTGCCTTCTTCCCCCTGCTTCCAGGAAGGGCTCTGTGTTTCTGTGGCTTTCACCAGGAATAACTGGCTTTTTGAAAACAGACGGTTCAACATTATCTGCTATTCATTTATGAAGTCTTATTAATGGAGTTGTACAGAACTATCCATACGTCTATTTTCTAACCGCTTTAACTACTGTAAGGTCATGGGAAAACCAGAGCCTATCCCAGCAAGCAACGGGAGCAAGGTGGGGTACACCCTGGATAAGTCGTCAGTCCATCACAGGGCACAAACACACTAACATGCCACTGCCCCATCTGTCCCATCAAATTCACTTTTCTTCCAAGCAATAATAATTTGTCTCCACTTTTGGCCAGGGCTTGACTCACTGCCGAGTAGACCATCATCTTCTTTGGCAGAGCTGAATCATTCCTTGCCGCTTTCGTGAGATTTCTCACTATCTGGCCCAGAAGAACACCTATAATATACCAGAAGAAAGGAAAGAAAGTGTCAGCAAAAGGTGAAAGCTACGTTTGAGTCAGGCGTCAGTGACTGGAGTATTTGCTTGTTTAAACTTGACATTTCTCCCTGCTGACATCAGAAACAGGCATGGCTTGCACTTTCCCTTTTCCTCCTGGTGTCAGATCTGGCTTTGTTGTGTTAGCTTTTCAAAGCTGAATCTGTTAATCAAACAAGAGGCTGACAGTGAAAATATTACACCTTAATGAAAACAGATGGTTTTAAATACCTTGTTCTAGAGTAGAGTTGATTCAGCTCTCAGAGAACTAAAAACAAAGTGGCTTACACAAAGAAGGTCAGCAACAATCCTTGGATTTGTAGAAGCTTACTGACACCAACAGCTCCCTGTACAGTAAAAGCACTGTCTTCTCTTTTCAAATCTTAATTCCTTGTGTTCTTGGGTCTTGTGTTATTTTTGCTTTTGAAGAAGTTCCCTGAACCTCTTTGGTCAAGTCCTTCTGGAATTTGAATACGCAAATTGAGTTGTCTTGATCTGCGCATAGCCTTGTCTTCACACCAAACCCTCCCCACCCAGTATTTTGGCATCCTCACCTCCTTGTAGACGTGCCTTTTCCACTCTTTTGTGAACAGAAAACAAGGCCTTAAGGCTGAAATCACTAAGGTCCCTCAGCTTGTCCATCACTGTTTGGGTCACCCAGGAAGGCAGGGTCATGTTGTGCTGGCTCTGTAAAAAACGAAACCTCAGGATGGGACCAGAAATAGGGAGCCTGATTGGTCCCATGGGTCCCAATTAGGAAATAAGAAAATAAACTGACAGGAAATTAAGAAATGAATGTAAAAAGTGGGTGTCTTTGTTTCTGTGATCCCCCTTTAAATATTTTTAGCGTGTCAACTAACAGTGTCAGACATACCATTTTTTGATTTCCAGCTCAGTATCAAAAACTTTGGGCCCATAATAATTATTTACCTAAAGAAGCAGTTAAAAGAGTCCCTTAAACTTTCACCATCTTGAAATCGCAAGACTAGAGCAGCTGCAAGTGTATCCACTGCATTACTGAGTCACCCATTAAATCTGCTTTTGTTCTCAGTGCAACACTGGGCTCTTTTGTGATCATTTCTCACCCTCCGTAAGAGTACACACTTGGGTGGAATTAAGTAAAAAAGTAAACCGAGCCATTAAATAAAACTGCAGATGATATTTTCTGTCAACAAATACTAAATTGTACTTGCTTCAGTGATTGAAAATACTCTTGAAATGGAGGGATGATTATCCTTCTCAAATCATTGTGGTTCACATTGTGTCATGAGGTAGATACGCTAGGAATCTCAGATGTGTTTGCCAGTTTTCTGATGCTACAGGATTAGATGGGTTCTTGAATGGCTCAACCAGTAAAGCTGTTTATCTGGAATATAGGCTGAACTCCATGATCCAGTTTGGTTTTGTTGAGATTGGCAGTACACACCTTGGGGTGGGCAGGTTTGAGTCAGACTTGCAAGGCAACAATGGCACTTAGGACCTGCTGGGCACCTGTGAGCTTCTAGCTGTGACACAGAAACATATTATTTCTGTTGAAATTGTCCTGAAGGGACTATAAGATTCACAATGTAAAAACAGGCTGACAAGTGCTTGTACAGTATATTCCTCTCCTTCACTTGAATCTATGTTCAAAACAGATGCTCATTAACCTTAGCCAAAATTCGCAGGATTTAAGAGGAAACCAACATATCTTAAAGCTCACCTCACAGAAAAGAGTATCGTAGACTTTCCACACTGATCTAAAAGAGATGTCTTTAAGTTTTGTGTTGTTCTTCACAAACTCGAAAAATTGCTGAAAAGAAGGAGAATATGGGAGTGGAAGTTACAATTAAGCAATCATGCCAAAGTACTCACTGTATCATTCATAACGAGGTGGGAGTAAGACTGACACCTACTTTATTTTCGAGGGTTTTCTTTTGGTACACATTTGTGTCCTCTGTTTCATTCCTCAGCACTTCATAGCGAGGGCAGTTTCGCTTTGGATAAAACAGGAGCTAAGCAAAACAAAAAAGGATTAAATGAGTGCAATGGAGACTGTGCTCCATCTTACATGAAGCCTTACACTGCCAAAGGTACAGCCTGTTATAGAGATAGTCGTTAAATGTGGAGAAATGCCTGAAAAATGAATGTCTTTTGCAGTGTAAGGACAATGGAGGCTTATAATGGAGGCTTATAATTTAGATTGAAATTCTTTTATCTTCAAAAGTGGGAAGTTCAACACAGCGGGGAACGGAACCAGTCGATACAGGATTTGACAGGATCAGTAGTCAGTAGCAGGGCTGAAAGCAAGTTGGAGGTTTACCTTGTCAGTGGCTCTAGGTTCAGTGTGTATAGGGATGGGCTGCCAGGAGATGTTGCTGTTGAAGATTGGAACTTTAGGAGGATACATCCCAGCCAGGTTTGACTCTGCACTCATCAGGGTCCTGTCCACGTCCGTGCTTCGCACATAAATCTGAGGGAAGAGTGAAAAAAGGAAACAAGTCATGTTTTTTTCTTCCAATTTTCTTTAAATTTGAAATCTGCCACTTGTTTCCTACTTTATGCCCAGACACTCTCGCACACCTCTGTATCTCATTTCACAAGCACCACCACGGGAACGTTATAACACTCTACACAGGTGGGATTAGAAAGGCACTTCCCATTGAAGACCAGGGGTCGCTAATTTGCAGTAAAGAATCCTGCAGAGGCCATTACCTCTCTCCAGTCATAGGTTTCGCTGAGGAAACCGCGGTAGCGTCTACGAAGGAACTGTCCCAGCTCAAAATGCTGTTTCATCCCTTCCTGTAGAATGACAGGACAAACACCCAGGCGGTCAGGAGAAAATGGGGCTGGACTTCAAGGCTCACCAGTGGTTTGTGTGTGTTTTTTTTTCCCTAACTGCTCACTCTGAATTGCTCACTGCCAGCCAATAATATTGTAGTGTACGTGGTGGACGACAGGAGGTGGACACACAAGGAACAGAGGCGTATTGAGAAGTATGTGTTGAGTCAGTGTCATCAGAAAGATACCTGAGTGAGCTGTCCAAAGCCCTGAGGCCAGGCATCCTCCTGGTAGGGGTCGGATGGGTACGTTCGGAGTGCAGACCGGTCACCATGGCGATACACCTAGCAACAGACAGGCTGACAGAAACGTTCGCAAGACTGGAACTCGTCAGGCACTTTGTTAATCAATCCAAAACTGGTCTGTAACGATGATGCGGTCCAAATTGTTTTTAAATTTGCTTTTCAAAAAACCCATTGGAGCTTGTGCCTAGAGTATGGCAAACTACAATGTTGTAGATCAAAGGAAAATCAATGCAGCTAACTGAGCAAAGGCAAATTAATAGTTAAATTTTTTAGCTGTGAAAAGTTGGGTGCAGTTCTTATCAACTATGTAAACCTTTCGTTACAGCGGAGCACAGGCAAGCCTAACTACACTGGTTTTGTTTACAGTGGCCTTCTGTCCTTTTCCTCCTTAGGAAGGAATTTACGTTATTTATTTAGTTATTTCTCAGGCATAAGTGTTATTCTGTACTTCTAATTTATTTTTTCCTAAAATTGGTACTGGTGCTGTTCTTTGCTACAGGAATAGACTGTTAGAAAGCACAGAACAATGTTATGCTATTGTGTACGGATAAGTCAAGGGAAAGACAATCAGTCAATCTTTTTTAACCAAAGTCAGTCTTCCTGCAATTTATGTACTGTATTGTATAACCTTTAGAAAAGACTAATTCCTAATGCAATAAATTGTATATGGCTAATAAAGTTATCTCTTAAACCTAATAAAATACCTATTGAAAGCTTTCATACTGTAATTGTACTTATGTCAACTAATAACATTCTTTAAACCTTTAATTATAAGATTTTTGAGGTAAGCAACTGAAAGCTTCTCATACAGTTCTAAAATTGATAGTGAATGTGGAAATCAGAACAGCTGTTGTCATTTGCTTCTGTAAAGGAACTACAACTGTTTCCTTTTCATACTGCAGAAAGTGTTAGAGACAGCCAATCTGTCAGGCAATTGACTTTCTGTACTTCCATTCATCAGAGGCCATTCAATCGATGCCCATGTCATTACACAGCTAACACCATTTCTCACTAAGAGGTATTACAACCTTACAAGCTGAGCAGAACTACAGATAATGTAGTTTAGAAACTGCATTTGGGAAACCATATTCTCCCATTAGTGTAAGATAACATAAGAGGTTCCCTTTTACCTGTTCTGCTGTATACTAGGGTCTACTCAGACGGTTTCCCTTCCAATCCACTTTATCACAATACTTGAGTGCCACCAGCATTGCAGTTGTTGAAATGATGCTGCTAATTTCTGATTATAGAAACGAGGAGCCAGCAGACGTAAAGTACCACCATGGGGTGGACTTGATGGAGAACCCAGCTGTAAACTGTTACTGCTCTTTACTCTGGTTATGTCAAATATTTGGTCCTCCTCTACATCAATCTGTTGAGTGACCGTAAGCTACTCATTCGTTTAAAAAATGACAACCCTTTACAAACATCTTCTGCGCAAAGACTTCTAAGTAAGTGCAGAGTGAAATGCTGCCCCCTGAAAAGTGTTCTCGCTGAGGATATGACACAATGCTCTAAATATTTTTCAGCTGCAAACAATTCCATTTGCTTTACTTATTTCCACAGTGAAAGCTGTAAGAAAATCTACCAACAATAACTTACCAAAGTGACAAATTTCAGTTCCCTTTGTCCGGTAGCTGCATGTATCGCAACAAATACTTCCAACAGCAATGAAAAATGAATCTGCATTCTCTGAGCCTGACCCAACATGTCACTCTTGAAAAACAGGAGTAGGAACAGAAGAGGAGGAGGTATAATGAATCCCACAGGAAGTATGGTGTATTAAGAATGTGACAGGAAATCTACTTAATGCTAACCGGCTGTAGGCCAAACTTTCCTGTGTATATTCCTGTCTGAAAACTACATGCTTTACATTCAAACTTTTTAGCCCCATGCTTTCTTAGTCAAGAGGTAAATTAAACCTCTGTTATATTTTTTTCTACTTCATAAAATTAAACTTTTGATTTGAGTTTGTTTATTGATTTCATGGACACCTAAAGTATTTTGAAGGTGCTCCGTGTGACTAAGTTAATGTAAAAGTGCAGTTAGACGAGTGATATACAGAAGCTGTGGAAACATCCCAACCTATTGAAACAAGAAACATAGTGCAATTCATTCTATTCATGAGAAATGCAGTGGAGTAAGAGCACGATAATATGGTTGTGCCATAACACTTATTAAAGTGGAGGTGTTCCATCTCTCATACACTGCAGGAGCACAGAAAGTAGTTCTAGGTCCTGAAATGAAGCTGAAAAAAACTAAAATATGGGACCCATAATTTTACTAATTAGGAAGATCAAAATAACAGGCACATGAAATATGTCATAAATATACACAGCTGACAGGCCAGAAAGCCAATTGCCTTGCACTGTGAACTTTATTAAAACATTCACGATGTAGAAAACGTGCCCTTAATGGTTTCCTGTTACAGCACTTAATTAAGAGTGTTCTAGGATCTACTCTTTAGTTCTCAGATGATGTCTTTGAGTATTGTACCACAGAACCACATCCATTGAAACACCGTAAAAGAGAGTTTTCGCTTCCCCATTCAGCACGAGACAAAGTGGTGAAATGTTCACTGTCCCTCAAGTGAGACAATAAAAAAAACTCATGCATCCCTTTTTTTTCTTTGAACAGCCACGGATTTCCTTTCTGGCTGAGGACAAGTAAACCCTTCTCTGTTCTGCGGTTTAATGGGGTCTCTCTCCCAGCTCTCCTCCCGGTTGTTATCAGGCCTCCTGTGTGTGGCAGCTGTCTTTGCTGCAGGGGCAACAGGAATGTGAGCTCAGGTCGTTCACATGCCACTGGCAGGGTTCAGTACTCTGCGCCAAATCTGAATGTCAGGTGCATTTTGGCAGCATGGCCGTCGTGCAGTGCTGTTGGTCTCGTCAGGTCCCAGGTGCTGAACAAGGCTGCATCTGGTCAGGACCAGGATGTGTCCAACACTCACGTTCATGACAGAAGTGGTGGTGGACCAGCAGGTGTTTTTGTCACTAATTGTGAAAGTATATGTAATAAAGATATTTTGTTTAAACTGCTCTAGCAACAGGTTTGGTAATGGAGTAACCTGTTTGAAGAGCACTTTGTCTTCCTTGTTATGAAAACTGTAACGGACACGGACTGGAATCCGTGTCAGGTCTTGTAGAAGACCCTATGCGATGCGGTAGGAGCTGGAGAAAACAGGAGGCGTGGTAAAAGGAACACACAGGGGGGTTTGATAGTGCACAAAATAATAGTGACAGTCCGTGAGACAGTGTACGGGGAAGACAAAACGGCATCCAAATCCAAACGGGTCCAAGGGCAGGTCAAAGCACAGTCCGAAAGTCCATCAACTAGAAATCCATCCTGGGACGCGACAAAGTTAAAATCCCCGGGAGGGGGGAACACACGGACAAACGAAACATGGAGGTCCAAGGGTGACGGGGCGAGATCCTCCAGACCCCGGGCTCAGGAAGCGGGAGGTGTCAGGGATGAGGCCTATGCCCTCAGGAGACGGACGTAGGGTTTCCTGATGCTAGGCGGGCCTCGCAACATCTTACCCTAATGATGAGCCCTGAGGACTGGAGGAGCTGGTCTTTAAATAATAACACTAAAAGGGTACACCTGGAGAGCTAAATGACACGACCAATAACGAGAGCAGTGGAGCGCCCTCTAGGGAGGGATGTTGGGGGTGACAAAAAACATTCAAATACAAATGCAAAATACTTGGGAGACTTAATTTATTTGAAAAAAATATTGCAAGCAAACAAGAACAATAGAAAAGTTACAAACGAGAGGAGTTCATTCAGCACATCTAGTCTATTTGGAAGTAAAAAGTACCTTATTGATCTTAACAGATCTCTTCCATGACTGGGCAGCTTGTTGCAAACTTAAAGTATCTTGCAAACCCCACAGTATTTTATCAACAAAAAGCTTACAATTTAAACATGAACACTGAAGAAAAAACCCAGTACAAAACCTTTAAAGCTTTATGTACAAACTTTTAAAAGGTATCCCTGTGCAATCATTTTCAAATTGGTCCTTTTTACTGTAAAATTGCAAAGAAATGTACAACCCTGAGAATTTAGCACAGAACTGCTCTTTCCAAATTGGAACAGGTACATGGCAACAGGTATTGATAATATAGCTTAATGCCAAAACATTAGATATATAAATTTCCCGTTGGCCCTTACCAATCATGGCCTCCTAATAATCCCCATCTATGATTTGGCTACATTACTATCTGCTCTCCTCCCCACTGAGAGCTGGTGTGTGGGGAGCGTTCTGGCGCACTATGGCTGCCGTCGCATCATCCAGGTGGATGCTGCACATTGGTGGTGGTGGAGGGGAGTCCCCATTACCTGTAAAGCGCTTTGAGTGGAGTGTCCAGAAAAGCGCTATATAAGTGTAAGCAATTATTATTATTAATTATTATTATTTTATATTTTTATAAAGAAACATGATTGCAAGATCTGCTCTGTGTCTTGATCGAATCCCACTCTTTAGTGATTAGGTGTTTTTGAAGACCAAAATGAGTGCAGGCTTGTGGTTGAAGCTTTTATGACTGGTGTTGCACTTCTGAGGAATTGGTAGGCAAGCTCTCCACATATTCCATGTGTTGTTTCACCCAGCTCTGACTGGGATCAGCGCAGATATTTTTCCCTCTTGTTGTCAGAAATCTGAAACATAAGAATTGAAAATAAATTCAAACAGAAGTCGGATGTCTTTTACCCATGTACTTTTACCCATAGTGTGGTAAAATCTATTTGATTCGCTCAAGGAGAGGAGCATGTCTTTAAACAGGAATCATGCCTCATTTTACTAACCCTGTGGTGTGATAAAAACAACATCACTCAGCCACTGTTAGCCCAAAATGATTTCCATCAGGCAGGATGTAGTACTTACACAATGGCAGATGGGATGCATTCAGAGTTGGTTTTCTTATAGGAAACAATTAGTTTCTTAGGGATTATATTTTTGATCAGCTTTGCGCAGCAGTCTGCACCAGAATTGGAGCCTTTAGCTATAACAGAAGCATGAAAAGAACAATTAATTCACTGCAGGACATTGTATTCATGGGTCATACACCTACTGCATCTGCATCGCTGTGCACCCTGTATTAGTGTGCACTTATCAGTTACAGGTATTACAATATTTTAGCTTTCTTTTATTAGATAGAAAAGTCTAGAGAAGCTAATGTGGAGGTAAACACCACACAGCTCTAACATTTCATATTTCTCTAATATGAAGAAACATTTCACTTGCTTTCAAGGGCTCCCCAATCCTTTTTTCCCCAGCACAGAAATTCTGAACTCATCTTCCCACTTTAAAAGCCTGTTTTTTATTATACACCAAAATCCTGACAATAAAATTGTTCTTCTAAGCAGTTTAGGACTTTTCTTGCCAGATGTTATACAATGGACCATATACAGTCCTGACCATTTCCTCCAGACTTATTTCTAACAGTGATGCACATCACTTACTCGCCGAGCAGGTCAGTGACAGGGCGCAGAGCAGCACGAGGAGCAGAGTGATGGTCGGAGGGTTCATTCTTTGGTAGGTCAGAGGCTCAGGAAGGACAGAGAGCAGAGAGATCTTCGCAGTGAGACAAATCTGAGAGGGCAGAGGTCTTCACAGCGGACTGTCTCTGCTGCTGTAGGCTCTGGCTCCTCCGTCCACCCTGCTGCCTGTCTTATAGACAAACAGCAGGAACCTGGTCAACAGGGAAACTCCTGAGCCGTGTTTCGGAGTATAGCCCTCTGAACAGATTCAAAGAACTTTTAAAGGAAGGTATCAGAGGAAAGAAGGATGTCAGATTGCTGAGACGTCTTTTTTTACTTCTCCTATTTTGCACTTTGTTAGCTGCCATCAGCACATACTGTATGATGTTTTAACCTGCCAATTGAAGAAAAGGGATTCTTCTTCTTCTATAGGGAAGATAGAGTATTAACATTTTATAATATTTTAATATTAATAATGTAATATTTCTTGTATATATTCTTATATAATTTAATATTAATATCCTCACTCATATGCGGATTGTTTTCAATGTCCAACTCTATGTCTACATCATGTGCTATTTTGCCAGCTCTCTAGAACTATCTGTATGGTCATTTTTATTAGTAATATGCTGCAATTCAGAAGATTGTTCTATTTAATACGGTCTAAAGTTTATTACCTCTTATACTCTTTAAAGTGACCCCTTTCGTAGGGTATTCATTCTTTGGGAGTAGCTCTGGAGAATCAAGTGGTTGGGAGTAAAGGAGAGTATCTTAATAATACTGGAGAACATGAAAACATTTTCCATTCCAATTCTGTTTTTTAAACTGGTAATTTGTAGGTGAGCCCATAAGACGTGTTACACTATCATACCAATGTGTGATTAGACTGTAAATCAAACAATCCTTACTTTTGCTCTTGCGTGATATGTATGATACTGAAACACAGCAAACTGTATGTGTCCTTGCACTTAGTTTAACAAGGAAGCCGTGATCTGATCCAACATTAACTTACAAAGAGCTTATTTATTTCAAGAGGTTCAAAAAACGTAGTGGAAATGACACAACCGATATTATGTAAAGTTACACTGTAAAATATTAATATTACACCTAGTAGCTGTATCACCCTGCAGCTAGCAAACCAGTGAAGGTAAGCAGGCGTGAGCCTGGTCAGTACCTGGATGAGAGACCTCCTGGGAAAAACTAATGTTGCTGCTGGAAGAGGTGTTAGTGGGGCCACTAGGGGGCGCTCACCCTGTAGTCTGATCTCTGCCCCAGTATGGTGACGGGGACACTATACTGTAAAAAGGCATTGTCCTTCGGATGAGACGTAAATCTGAGGTCCTGCTCTCTGTGATCAGTAAAAATCTTTCTCAAAAAAGGTTAGGGTTTAACCCCAATGTCCTGCACAGATTTCCCCCTGGCCTTTACCAATCATGGCCTCCTAATAATAATAACACTGGTGGTGGTGGAGAGGAGTCCCCATTACCTGTAAATAGCTTTGAGTGGAGTGTCCAGAAAAGCACTATATATGTGTAAGCAAATATTATTATTAAATATATTATTTAATTTGAGTGTAGGTGGCAAATGAGATAAAATTGAACTTTTTGGAAAACAACACATATGGGAAGTACAACTTTCCTTTGTTTTCACTTTTAAATCTCCTGACTTTCATTTAAATCTAAATGTGTCATCCTGGAGAACACAAGGTGGCGCCGTCACATCAGTTTCTGTCTTGAAGCACTGAATAGATCCATAAGCAACACAGTGCTACTCAAATGCAAAAGGAAGGAGGTGCCTTACAGTTTTATAAGAAGAGGCCCCTCATTGCTAAAGGCCAGGGGGGAATTTGGCCAGCACACTGGGTTTAACACCTCTACTCTTTTTAAGAAACACCCTGGGATTTTAATGACCCAAGAAAGTCAGGACCTCAGTTATATGTCTGATCCATAGGAGGGCACCTTTTTTACATTTTAGTGTCCCCATTATTATACTGGGGCATTAGAATTCACTCTCACCACAGGGTGAGCACTCCCTGGCCCCACTAACACCTCATCCAGCAGGAACCTTAGTTTTTCCCAGGAGGTCTCCTATCCGGGTACTGGACAGGCTCACTGTGATGGGTATATTTCTAATAAAATAGCTGACTGTGTAATACTAATGTCTTGTGCTGGGCTGTGGGTGCACTGGTGTTTCTGGAATGTATTTTGAACCTGTTGCCAGGATAAAGAGTCCAAGGAGCCTTAAAATTGCACAGTGGTGCAGTTGACTCAAAAATTCCAAGGTCCACAGAATCCTGTATTTAGGCGTCACCATCTGTGACAACTGTCTTCAGGCCAGGTGGTTGGCCCATAGCCAAGCAGGTTAAAACAAAGTTTCTAAAGCCAAATGTAAACTTATTATACTTCATAATCAACCTTCTTAGACACCCTTTTCTTACTATGTGTTGTCATTTTGTCTGTTTGTTTCAGTATAAAAATAGTGGCTTTTTAAGAAGTGCACCAGGGTCTTTACCCCTATTGAGCTATGTGAAAACTTGCCCCAGTTCTCTGTTCCAAGGCCTGAAATGTAAAGGTAGACCCTGATAATCAAGGCAGGTGGTGTCTTGATACCTAGTTGTTTTTTCTATGCAGTGTTTTTACTTTCTTTTACTGATAGGCTTGAAATAATCACATGAACCTGCGATTTCTTTTAGAGCTTTGGGTGTCAAATGCAAAAAAATATTTTAAAGCAGCAAAACAAAATAACATTTTATTTTAATACAACCAAAAATCTTGTGATGATAATAATAAACTTTTCAGTTTTTTTTACCAAACAACTCAGACAATTCACCACTCACGAAGTATACAGTACACAATCTCAAACAGAACTTTTGTTTTATTTTGTAACAAAATATTTGATCATTTATGGATTAAGAATTGTAATTAAAAAGATTACAGAATTTTGATTTGGCATATTACATAATAATTTCCACACATAAAAATGACCGTAGTATGATTTACTTTACTGGAATTGGGACTGGAAAGCCAGAACGTGCAGTGTTTCAAAGAAACAGTACAAAAATTAGACGTATTTTCAAGTCTCATTGAAAATGTTGTATTGATCTCATTATGAACTTCCTCTATAATTCTTAAAAAATAAATTATTTTTATGTAACAAACTGAGCTAAAGTTTCCAAGTAAAAATAAAGTTACTATTTCTCACCTCAGAGCAAGACACAGACTCTGGGCTTCGTGGAAACAATGATTTAATGTTCCCTTTTCCATATTTGAGATGA